AATGCCCGAGCCAGTGCCATCATCCCATTAATGTTCGGATACATCGCTGGTGCTGACAGATGGCAAGCATTGGCTAGCCTTGAACTTGGCTTGCTTGCCGCGAGCTCCGGACAGAAATAATGCATGTAAGTAAGCTCAGAGCCGGGGCGAGGAAGACGTAGGATCTTGAGTCGTTTCTTTGACCGTTTCTCTCAAGGCTTCCTACGAATGTTGAAGTCCCCCATCCGACAAGCTCGTTTCGTGAGGCATTATCTCGTGTCCGTAGCCCTTCCCCAGGCGGGGAGAAGAAGGTCGACCGGCGAAAAGGCAATTGATCAGCCCTATCCTGGCGTGGGATCCTAACACGACACCATTCGCCTCTCCTCAGTCTGACTACGCCCCCTCTTCCACATTCCGCCCAATTTCATCGGGTTGAATTGATTTTACCGTTGACATCCACAACTGACCATTGAGCAACCCGCAACTCTCGCCCGTTATCGATTCGTTATTCTACCGCTCATCGTTTGTCTTTGCCATCCCAGCGCTTGGCTTTCGAGGCCCTATCTTTGGGTTGCCGATGACAAGACCTCGAACGACGACCCCTGACGACGCGGATCGAAACCAGCCTGTGTTTCACCAAACGGCCCCAGATCCCTCCCCCGCAGCAGCTGTAGCGTGTCGCTCATCGTCCCCCACGAGTGTCGAGCCTTAACCGCTGTTCGTCTGAAGAGAGGTAACCCCAGCCAGTAACAGAGGCAGCCGGAGGAGAGACCCGGCAGAAAGACACGACGGAGGAGACAGCGAATCCCTCTAACCCTCTTCTGCAGCTATTCGTCTTTGGCCTGCGATTGCTGGTCGAGAATGGGATAGCGTTGCACACCAGACAGACAGACAGACAGACAGACAGACAGACAGACAGCCTCCATCAAAGCAGCCATCGGCAGCACCCTAGCATCAAGCCATCAGCGAATCCAGCTCTCCCTCCAGCTCGCGAGGAGTATCCGTACGGCGACCTGGGTTGACTTGTGCACAGCCCCAAGGAAGCCCCTCCAAGGAACCCAGACCTAGACGGGAGACCCAGTCAGCCAGCGCGGCATCCGCTTCTGCAGGTTGGGTAGCCAATCCGAACCAATCCATCTGTTCTTCTGCCTGTTGCTCTGGTGGTGGTGCTTCCTTTGGCGGGCACCTGCACACGTAGGTTAGATTGAACTTGGGTGAGAAGTGGACAGACAGGGTCTTGCAGACGCAGAACCGCAGGCGCAGGCGCAGGCGCGCAAAAAATAGGAACAGGGACCAGCAGGACGGGCTGATCAATCTCTCGTCTTGCCATCCTCTTGCTTCCCTTTCTTGCTTGCCGCTGGTTGCTAGCTGTCATTGCTTCTGCCACTGCATCTCGACCTTGCACATCGACGGACAGACAAGATTCGAGCCGACATTTGACTGAGCCAAGCTGAGTTGAAGCGAACGAAGCCTGTCCCGCTACGTTGCTGCGTACCCCCGGAAGCAAGCAAGCAAAGCTGCGCGTTCGGTCCACCATCCGGTCTTGTGTATCTGTCTGTCTCTGCTTTCTCTCATTTTCAGTCAGTTCAGTCAGTCAGTCAACCCACGGGCTGTGCCGTTTTGGCATAGGACGATCGATCTGCTTGCTCCCTTTTACCCGCAGTGTTCAGTGGAGGGCAAGCGTCCCAAACAAGCAACAAGGGACAAAAAAAAAAGAGACCTACCAATAAACCAAAAAAAGAAGCCAGGTTGGACTGCGGCGGCTGCGCACAACGACATCACAGTGTTATAATGCCGGCCTTCGGTCGCATTGGAAGGCACCACAACCGCTCGCAGCAAGCACTTGTTGATCCGAGCGGAGAGGTTGCTGCTGGATCGGGTTCAGGCTCAGGCTCAGGTTCAGGTTCAGGTTCAGGTTCAGGTTCAGCGATATCACATCCCGCGCCTGGTCCTGCGCCGCCTTCCGGCCCTGCTGGTGCCGCCGGTGTTCCTTCCTCCTCATCTCACTCTCACTCCTCCCTCGCTCCTGCCTTGAGCGCAGGCACTGGCACTGGCACAACCACGACCAACAACGCCGCCGGCGCTAATAGTCTCAATCAAATTACCCCCCATTCAGCCTCGTCGACCGCCTTCAGCTCCAGCGAATCCTTTGACATCCACCCAAACCAGCTGGCTGCTCATCAACAACATCAGCTCCAACAGCAGCAGCAACAGCAACAACTCCTTCAACAACAACACCAGCTACAGCAACAAGGGCAGCAAGGGCCATCTCCACTGCAGCAGCCCCACGATTACCATCCTCCTGCCTCGACCTCGCGCAACTCCCTCCTATTGCAGCACCACAATCCACCCATAGCTGACTTGCGCCAGAGGAGTCAGCAGGATTACACCGACTCCGTCTCCCGCTCCCAGTCACAGCGCTACCCGCCCGGCGTGGCCCCCTACTCCAACAACGCCAAACCCGGCGCTGCATCTAGCTCCGTCGACAACCTCAGAACTTCCGTCAACAGCACCTCATCTGCTCCTCAAGCAACGTCGCCTCTTCCGCAACAGCAACCCGCGCCTGTCCCCGAAAAGCGATCCGCACGAAAGCTGCTCAGGAACATTTTGGGCGGATCGGGCCGCGATCATCACAACACCCCGCCCCCCCAACCTACCCCGCCAAGTTCCTACGATAACACCGGTGGTCTTGCTCGCCGACCGTCCAAAAGAGTGAGCAACCCACCACCTGCAAGAATTACTTTGTCCCAGCAGCCGTCCCAGCAGTCCTTGGACCAGCAACCTGCCGACTGGCCACTTTCGGCACCTCATCAACAACCCTCCCCCTTACAGGGCGTCGGCGAGACCGAGGATCACCACTTTGCACAAGACCCTAACAGAGACCCTCGTCTACAGAACCCCGATTCCAATCGCAACTCCATTCGCTACGTCCCGACCGACTTCGACAATACCCCCTACGAAGAAGCCGACTACGGAGATTGCCAGCCACAGCAGATCCCGACCTTGCAGGAACAGCACCAACACGGTCAGCAGCCTGCTTACGACCCCTCACAGCAGCAGTACCAGAAACAATACTCCAACCAGCAGCCTGGTCAGTACCAAACTGGACCACCCACGATCTACACTAGTCACTTGGGTGCCGGTTCGCATCAGAATCCCGAGACTATTTCCCAGCTGTCGCATGAATCACCCGTCACTGATTCAGACGCTCTGTCGGCAAACGTACATTCCAACCAAACCTCCCCCGCAGTGAGGTACGCTGTACAAACCACAGACAGCCCGCTGCCTCCCACACTCCCCCCTGCACAGCAAGGAGGACCTCAAACCCAGCAGCAGCCGCACCAGCAGAACATGACTCCTCCCTCTGGCGGCCCTCCCCCGAGTAGACGATCCCAAGAGACAGAGAAGGCATTGCGCAGTCAGGTCGACGCATCTGCAGGCCCTCCTCCAGGTTATAGACAGAATCAGATCATGCCTCCTACCACTGGCAGCGCCAACGCTGCCTTCCGGCCTGGCGGTGCTGCAGACTCTCGCCAATTCGAAGGCGCCACCGGAGAGCAAGGCCGGAACAGCCCACAGCCCTCCAACCCCGATCGCGACGGCGCAGATCCCGACAAATTCAAGGAGCTTCGTAAGCAGTACATGAGTGCTATGCTAGAAGTGTACTGACAAATCCTAGTAACTAAGTATAAGAATGTTAAGCGGTTGTACTTTGACGGCAAGACACAGATCGACAACCTCAACTCTCAAATTGAGGTCCTTCAAAATGCAGTTGCCAACCAGCGAATGTCACAGTCACGGACTGCCCTCGACGACAGCGAGTACATAACAAGATTTAACCGTCTGAATGGTGCTATCAACAACCTTTCGTTCAATATCAGAAAGGACTGGCGTACAGTACCGCAATGGTTGGACATGTTCGTCAGCATTGATGCGCTCAAGACCGGCAAGCAGGAGATGACAGCCGTTGGTCGTGCTGTCATTACGAGGTGGATTGTAGAAGAGATCTTCCAGAAGTGCTTCCACCCCGGCCTCGACATGGACCTCAGCCGGCAGCTGAAGGAGATCGAGCTCAACATCCGCCGTTTCTCGTACACGATGAGCAGCCAGGAAGAGTTCGATGCCTTGACAAATAAGGTCGTGAGCTGGCGAATGGCCACCTTGGAGGGTCTGCAGAGAGTTCTGAACTCCCCAGAGAGTGCAGACAGCAGGGCGAACTTCACCCAGATGTGTACAACGAAACTCACGGCGACACTTTTCCAGTACATGACAACCCCTGCGCCACTTGGAGTTGACGGCAGCGCATCCATGATTGTCGAGTTGGCAGTAGGTATCGCAGCCAACCTGCCGCTAGAGAGCAGAGATGTTGCCATCAACTATCCCTTGCCGGGAGACCCGATTCAACTTAACATCATGGAAGTCGAGAAGACGCCGCTTCCACCTCTGGAGATTCAGAAAGCCGAGGGGGAACCAGAGGCTGAAGAAGGCGACAAGGACAAGAGTGGCAAGAACCAGCGGGCGGACAAGACCAAGAGCGGTATGTTCACAAATATACTCAGCGGTGGACCGCAGGCCGGCCGCAAGGGCAGCACTGCGTCGTCAATCGTTGGCACAAGTACTGATACCGCCCTTCCTTCAGCTATTCCCCCCAAGGACAACAGCACGGTGCGACTCGCGGGCTTCCCAGTAGTGGAAGTTCGGGGTCGCCAGGTTCTTGTCAAGGCGACTGTTTGGGCACTTTGAAAGTAATTCGGTTGAGCCAAGGTTCAGGTGATATGCTCCGGTGACTTTGCAGCAGTCCACGTAGAGGGGCAGGATTTCCAGTCGAATTTGCTGCGTTAAGAGCGTGGAAGGAGGTCCATATGGGTTGGAGGACCTCAGCCGGAAGGAAGGGGACAGGAGTCAACCATCAACAATGCGGATGGAAAGGGGCGGAACTCATGACTGAAGAAGATTCACATTCATACCAGGAGGAAAACTTGGATGCCTGCTCTCTATTCAAAACAGAGAGCCTAGATAGTCTCCAGGGTACCTTCACAAGTTGTTTGCTTTCTTGCCGTTTCTCAAAACCATTCCGTTCCTGATTCACGACCTCGTGCTGCCAAGATAGCCACAACGCACCTCGGGTTTGCGGCTCGAATCCCCCTTTGGCTCGATCAGGACACACGATGCGCCGTCGAAGGGGCACTGCGGGTTGATGTCAGCTCTTGCGACTGAAGATACTGTCACATCCGTGATTTTCCAGGAGGGTGTTACTGACTCTATTGTAGTCCGCCGGGCAGACTTGGGCATCTCGTCCCGTCAAGTTGCATTTGTTGCTCATCTGTGTACAAGTCTAGTACAAACCAACGTCAGCCCAAAGATAAGGTTGAAATGGGAAGATTCAATCGACGTTATGTTGCTCCGCGATTGCTTTCAAAACGACTTACACCTCTGGTCCTGGTCTCTTCTTGGCCTGGCGTCTGTCGCGCTGCGAGATGAATTTGGCGGCGGTCGTTGTGGTGTGCCGGGGCGACGGCGCCGCTCGCGCTGAAGGCTACGAGAAGGAAGAGGGCGAAGCTGAGGAGGAGGTGGGAGTTGTACATGGTTGCTCTTGTTTTCACGAGAAGCAAGTAGCCTTGGACCGTGGAAAAGGTGTGGCAGCTGGGTTTACGTTGCGGTTCTGACTCTGATCGATGGATGGCAGAAGTCCGTGAGGAGGTTTGGATTATTGATTATCGTACGCGTGATTAAAGCGAGCGTCGAGGCCTGGACTTTTACTGATTTTTATTTATTTTAAAAAGGACTCCAAGAGCTGGCGATAGCCACAGAGGAGGGGAGAACGAGTGGATGGAGAGAAGGGGCGTCGGGTTTGACGATGTGCGCTGTGTCTGTGTATATGAGCGAACCTCACGACACCAGACGAAACGTCACCTTTCCTTCCTCCCCCTCCCTTCCTCTCCCCTTCCCCAAGCCCCTCCTCTCTGTCAGCAGCGCGCGGTCGTGCTCTCTACACATTGGATGAATGAGACGAAAAAGTATCACAGCAAACACCACATGTGTGGCGATGCTTCTCCTGTACGGGCGAGCAACATCGGAAGGTGGTCACCAGGCACACGGGTTCCGTGTAACACAGACCTACCTCTTTCTAACTCTCCTTCAGTCATCATCGCCTACAGCAGTGCATTGTTTTATCTAACCTTTGATCTCTACATGCGTACATATCCATCTTACCCCCTTGGCGCACGTGGTACCATTTTGTCCTCCAAACGGTTTTGCATTCTGCTTCTTGCTGTAAAAGTGCCTGTGGTAAGGAAGGGAGGAGAAGGAGAGGCTCGTGTGGGTGCAGTAGCTTGTCTGGTGTACCTTATACCCCGTATGCTTCTTTGCACCGCACCAACCAATTCGGAAACGTCAATGCTCTCTCTGTATCCTATCTTCGTGACTGTACCTTACTCTCTGCTGTATTACCGCCCCTCGCATTGGATGATCTGATCCTCAGGAAAGAAGGGATAGGTAGAGCTACCTGTAGTAAATAAATACACTGTGATAGGCAGTGCTACTTGACTATTCATCCATCTCAAATACAAATCAGTCATACCCCCCTCTCATCAGATTCTACCCCGCAAGTGCGCTCATAACGTCTTTGGATTTGGGTTTTACTACTCCCAAATCCACCCAACCAACCAATGTTGAGCTGAGCTGCCAGATGCGAGAACCTTTGACCCTACCGTAACTTTTACCGATCAACCCCTCCATTGCCAGGGCAAGGATCCCCGGCACCTCGAGCAGAATACCTTGGAGGACAAGGAAGTGGGGGGTCCCGCCACCAGCGAAAAGACACCTCACCGCCTTCTACTCTGGGTCGAAAACGGCACAACACCCCGCCAAACTTCTTTCGCGATGGCATCAAATTCGGATCCAAACGTCACGTTGAAGTATAGACGAACATTGTCGTTTTCCCGGCACAAAGACTCCACTTTTATATAGATACTACACTACGCTTCGGAGTCCGGCCCTGACCTCACCTCACCTTACTACACCACCAACCCAAAATGGCATCCACCCCAGCACACCTGGAGCCCTCCAAGCTCGGAACAAAAGAATAGTTCGTCACTCAACACTCTTTATTCCCCCCCGCGCGCTACCAAAGAATCATACCCTCTCCCCATCATACAGACCACCAAACTAACAGCAAAACCACAAAACAGCTGGGCCACCCTCTACACAACCGAACTCACAAACAATGCCCAGAACCCAGAAGACCGCGGCACAGTCTGGTTCGACGACTCGGACGCCGAGTCCAAACTCCTAACCTACCTCGAAGACCTCACAGAGTCCGCCCCCTTCGACCACTCCCTCCGCCAAGCCGACGCCACCTACCTCGACCTCGGCTGCGGCAACGGCTCCCTCCTCTTCGCCCTCCGCGACGAAGGCTGGGCCGGCCGCGCCCTGGGCGTCGATTACGCCCCGCAGAGCGTTGAGCTCGCGCGCCGGATCGCGGCGCAGAGACAGCAAGATTCCACTGCTACCAAGGAAGACGAGGACATGTCGGACGCGCCGCCCGCCGGGGTGGAAGACGACGAGGCGGACGCCAGAGAGCCAGAGTTTGAAGAGTGGGATGTCCTAAACGGAATTTGGGAAACCGTGCTCAACGGACCCCAAAAAGACGGATGGGACGTTGTCCTCGACAAGGGTACCTTTGACGCAATCTGCCTCAGCGACGAAAAGGACGCGCAGGGCCGGCGCATCTGCGAGGGATACAGGGGCCGCGCGCTCCGCCTCGTCAAGCCCGGCGGCCTGCTCCTCATCACGAGCTGCAACTGGACAGAGGAGGAGCTCAGGAAATGGTTCGAGAGCCCTTCTAACGAGGGAGATGCGGGCAAGTTTGTTGCTGTGGGCAAGGTGGACTACCCTAGCTTCACCTTTGGCGGAGCCAAGGGCCAGACCATTAGCAGCTTGTGCTTCCAGAGGCAGGCGTAGCTAGAGCATCATGCGACGATGAGTTAGACGAATAACAAGACCTTCAAGATACCCCACACAAGATCGTTAGTCACGGCGGCACTAGATAACATTCTTCGTTATTGCATCTCGTGTCTCTTCTGACGGCTGCTGGTGTATCATACAATGTGTTTCTTTAATGGGGGAATGTCAGGCAACGTCACCTACGCTCAACCACACGCGTTCTCTATTGCGCCCCATCTATGGGTGCTTCCGTGTCCCCGGAGACGTCTCTCCTCACGTCAACCGCCAGTGAAAACTTCGCCTCTCTCTTTCTAGTTAGTCTTCTTTTTTTCTGTAAAGCCCTGACAGGCGAACCGGAGTAGCACCCAACACCGTGTAGCGTTTGGTCGAAGCATGCAAGGTAAGAGTCTTGGGATGGTCCTGATAAAAAGATTGGGAATTGCTTCATTACGTCTCTCATCTATGGTGATGTATTCATAGGCTCGCCAGAAGGTCCAGACACTTGGTTCGCAGACGTTGTCGCAAAGTACCGCACGTCGACGTCGTCATCCTTCTGCAGCTTCTCGAGCTTAGGGATGACGCGTGTCTGGATCAGCTCCATGCCTCTGGGAGACGCGGTGAAGGCGCCGCCCTCCTTCTCAAGGGAATAAATCGTACCCTCTTCGGGCAAACGGCGAAGGACGTCAATCAGAACGCCATATGTTTTGGCGACGTTGAAGCGAATGTTGGGGATCTCATCGTCGACGAGCTTGTCCAACATGGGCAGGATCTTGTCAGCAATGACATCAAGGCTCACAACCGAAGCAAGGGTCTGCAATCATTAGCATTTCTGGCCTAACAGCAGATGCGAAATACATGACTTACGGTGATGGCAAAGGCGGTTGTCATTCGGTAGAGGTAATTGGGGTGGTTGCCCATGGCCATGACCTTGGGAATGATCGCCTCACTCGCCCATTCGACTCCAAAGACCTCGGTGAGCTTCTTCAGGTTGTGTGTCGCCGCCTCACGGATTGAGAAGACGGTATCGCCCAGCCAGCTCATACAGAGATTGCTCAGCTTCTCATCGAAGAACTTAACTCCGAGCTGGCTGGCAAGGAGGGGAATGTACTCGATGATGGCCAGTCTCACACGCCACTGCTTGTCCTCGGCAAGCTGCACAATGGCGGGCAAAAGAGACTGGGAGAGCAAGTCAATTCCGATGACTACAAAACAGTTAGTAAGATGCTTTTATCCATGGAAGTTGCACATACCCTGGTTGACCAGCTCAAGCTTGGAAATGATGTGGAGGCGAACTTCGGGGAATTCATCCTTCAGCATTTGCAAGAACATGGGCAGAAGGTGGTCGATAGTTCTGTGGCAAGTTAGTCACTTGTGACGAGACTGCAGCGGTTATGGAACCTACTCTTGCTTTCCCAAGATGGGCGCAAGGCCGCTGATCTGAGTACCGAGAGCAGCTCTGACATGCTGGGACGTGTCGGAAACGAGATCCTCCACGCTGCTCATGATGTCATTCAGGAGGACAGTCCGGTCAACCAGAGCACAGAATCCAGGTATTTGTCCAGCAATCGCGGTCCGGACTTCTGCCTCGTTATCCTTGAGGAGCTTAACGAAAGACGGCACCAGATCCCTTGAGACGACCTCCTCATCAACAGCCTTGGAAATCTGTTCGCGTATTAGCGTGGCTCTCCATACGAGCGTATCGATTCCTGCCAACCTTCTCAAATCTGTCCGCGATCATGTACCGAACCCTCCAGCTCTTGTCCTCGATCAGGTTTCGCAGAGAAGTGAGGAGAACGCCGTGACTCGACTGCTGCTCCTTGGGCACGACCTCGGCGATGGAAATGAGGATCTCGACGGTAAGTAAGCGGACGCTGTCCTGATCATCCTGGGCGAGGTGCTGGAAAAGGGGTATCATCTCTTCAACAACAATAGCGGCCGGCATCTCCTTGACGAACTTTGCCAGGTTAGTGGCTGCTTGGCGTCTGACCATGGGTGTCTCATCGTGGACAAGCTGTCCAAACTGCTTTCGGAGGTCTTCTTGAATGCCCGGGGACACCTTCTTGTAGGGCGATGTGTAGAGACCGCAGCCAGACACCTTGGAGGTGAACCAGTCTGCTTTTGAAAGTCGGATGGTCAAGGGGATGAAGTATTCTTCGACTTGCTGGGAGGACAGCTCCTCGCAGATCTTGTTGAGAGACTCGACGGCCTGTTTTGATTAGGCGACATGACTTGCGGGTGGAGCAGGGGGCGATAGCTACCTTGTCCCGCACGACGGGCTCCTCGATGGCAGCGAGGTTCTCGAGGGGGGAGAGGAGGACATGACCCCATTGGGCGCCTCCGACGTACTCGATGAAGTTGCCCAGCTCGCCGCTGAGAGCGACTAGCACCTCATCCTCGTCCTCGACGGACTCTGATTGAAAGTTAAGATATTGGCTCACAGGGGGATGGATGCGCAAGACATACCGTCGAGGAAGGGAATCAATTCCTCACGCGTGCGCTCGGCGCCCAGGGCGAGGGCGATGGTGGAGAGGCGGTGGATGGCATTGAGGCGTAGGAGGACATCGTCGTGCTGGATCGCAAAAGGTTAGCAATGTGTTGTGCGCTGGCGGGTGAAGGCTGACGTCGGGGGTGGGCTGGAATAGGCAGAGTCACCGCCATACCTTGAGCTCGTCGATGAGGACGGCGATGGGGTAGAGCTCGTCCTGGGTATTCGGCGCGTCTGCCATGGCGAGCGAGGTTGCGCAGGCGCGTTTATCGATGGGAGGGTCGGTTGATGTTCAGGAGAGTCGACGTCGTGGTTGTGAGCGATCGGAGTGGATCGCGTGCGGGTGATGCAATGGGTTGGTTGAGGGCGAGCGACGGTCGTTGTGGGATTGGGGGGGCTCTAAAATCTGAGACGACGCAACCGGGATAGTGGTATGGCAGATATTATCAGGAGGTTGCGGACATGCAGACCATGCCAACGATCCGACGTCAGGTTGGCGAAAGGTACAGCTAGTTGTCGTGGTGAGGTTCGTATGGCAGTAAGGTAGTGGAGGAGAAGCGTGGTCGGGTGTTGATTTGAGATAGATAGTGGGAAGCACGAGGCATGGGAAGGGAAGTTTGACGTGCTGTTTCTGAGGTCGACTTTCGCTTCTGCTCCTCCTGGTCCTGTCCCACCCTACCAGAAATGGGCTACCTTACCGCACCTAAATTATCAGCTGTGGTGGCCACCTCAGTCGTTAGGAGATGGGCAACAGCATTTCCAGGCGCCTACGAGAGCCTGTATCTGTGACCGCCTTAGGCAAGGTGTAGCAGAGGGAAGGTACGTACCCGGAACTTCTTGGTGGTGGATGTCGTAAGGCAGGGGTGCAGGAGGAGGTGCTCTTTCTCTGTGGTGAGGGGCTGCCTGCTTGCTGCTTGCTGCTGCATCTTAACAGCTGAAGAGCGGATTTGCAGTAGGTACTGACGTATCCCTCGTGCCCTCTTCTACGTACCCAACTTCCTCACGTCTCTTTGGAACTTGTGCGTCCTCTGTCGCCAATTCCATCAGCACCATAGCACTATTCAAACAGCTAATCTAAGGCATCTAACCTTTCAAGTCCGGCTTCATTCCTTTTTGGCCTGCTGAGATGTTCCCCGGGTGACCAGCCGAGGAGGGGTCATTCGGCATGCAGCTAAGCTACCCTCACCTTACCTAGGTACGCACCGCCTCACGTTCATGGAGGGGGGAGGCTATGGGACAGCTACTTCATATTTTATTTTATTCCGAATCTGAGTGTTTGGGCAGGCATGGCTGTGGTTACTGAGATCCAGCGCTTACTGCACTGCCAAAACCTCGACCAGCAAGTACCTATTCGCCTTGGGTAGCTACGAGCTGTCAGTGAGGTAGGTACCTGTCAAACCTTCCCGTCACGAACAAACAGCTCAGGTGTCGATGGCATGTCCCTTCCACCTTCCAGCAGCGGCGAAACATCTCGTAGCTGGAATGTGCGCACGGCTGGGTGCACTGGCCGCCAGCTGTCGTTGGGCCTGCACCGAAGAGGCATATGGGTGATTTTATGGCTTCCATTTCTCCTGCTGCCCGTCCCGGTTTCGGCTGGCACGGACCACCCTCTGACATCGGACCCTGGAAAATTGAGCAGCCGAGTGCGACCGCTGCTTTTGCTGCCCCTCAACCCCGCAGCCCCTCCAATGGGTGCGATGAAGTCGAAATGACTCCCACCGACCTCTAAAAGCAGCAACTTCATCCCGCCCCGGCGAACCTTCCATGCGTGCATGCAGTTGCTTCACCTCCGAGTGTCCCCAAAATTTCTGTGACTCAAGGCCATATTGGAGACGGAAATTAACCATTGCTTGAATCCTCTCCTGCCCCTGACGATAGCCGGACCTCTGTATCCTCGAGAGACTCGCCAATCCTCACCATGCCTACCATATCCGTCAATAAGTACGATTTGTACAAGGCCCTGGGCCAAAAGTGAGTTGCGCCGTCCTGGCACCGCCCGCCCCGATCTACACATTTCGACCCCGCCATCCCCAGACTCCCTTTTGCTGAACGTCACCCGCACAGCTTCACCACCCAAGAGTTTGAAGACCTCTGCTTCGAATTCGGTATCGAGCTCGACGAGGACACCGAGAATGACGACCGACCGATTGTCAATGGCGTGCAGGAGCCGCCCCAGCTGAAGATCGAGATCCCCGCCAACCGATACGATATGCTGTGCTTCGAGGGTATCGCGCTCATGCTCAACATCTTCAGGGAGAAGGTCGCCGCACCCAACTACAAGGTTGTAGAGCCCAAGAACCCCGAAGCCTCCGTCATCACCGTTGCTCAGGACACGAGCAAGATTCGACCCCTCGTCGCTGGTGCCATTCTCAGAAACATCAAGTTCACCCAGGAGAGCTACGACTCCTTCATCGGCCTCCAGGACAAGCTGCACATGAACTTGGCGAGACAAAGAACATTGGTGGCTATCGGAACCCACGATCTTGACACGATAGAAGGTCCCTTCACATACGAGGCTCTGCCGGCCAAGGATATCAAGTTCAAGCCCCTGAACCAGACCAAGGAGATGAACGGCGAGGAGCTGATGCAGTTCTACGAGAGTGACAAGCATCTCGGCAGGTACCTGCACATCATCAAGGACTCTCCCGTCTACCCTGTCATCTACGACAAGAACCGAGTAGTCTGCTCGCTACCACCCATCATCAACGGCGACCACTCCAAGATCACCGTCAACACCAAGAATGTCTTCATCGAGATGACAGCGACGGACGCCACCAAGCTCGATATTGTCTGCGACATGATGGTCACAATGTTCTCGCAATACTGCTCCGAGCCCTTCACCGTCGAGCCCGTAAAGATCGTTTCCGAGCACAACGGCGCATCAAGAACGACACCAACCCTCGCCCCCCGCACAATCGATGTCGAGATTGACTACCTCAACGCCTGCACTGGCCTCAGTGAAACCCCCGAGAAGATGTGCCAGCTCCTTAACAAGATGGCCTACATCGCCAAGCCCTCCGACAAGGACAGCAACCTCCTCAGCGTCTCAATTCCCGTCACCCGTGCCGATGTGCTCCACCAATGCGACGTTATGGAGGATCTGGCCATCTGCTACGGCTACAACAATCTCCCTAGATCTTCTCCCAACAAGAGCGCTACCATTGGAGCGCCTCTCATGATCAACAAGCTCGCCGATATTGTGCGGACAGAGGCCGCCATGTCTGGCTGGAGCGAAGTTATGCCTCTGATTCTGTGCAGCCACGACGAGAACTTCGGCTGGCTGAACCGCAAGGACGACGGCAAGACTGCTGTCAAGCTTGCCAACCCCAAGACCGCCGAGTACCAGGTTGTGCGGACATCCCTGGTCCCTGGTCTTCTCAAGACCATTCGCGAGAATAAGAAGCACAGCGTCCCCATCAAGATCTTCGAGTCAGCCGACGTCGTTTTCAAGGACGAGTCTCTGGAGCGCAAGGCTCGCAACGAGCGCCACTTCGCTGCTGCCTGGTACGGTAAGACTAGCGGCTTTGAGGTTGTTCACGGTCTTCTCGACCGCGTCCTCTTGATGCTCCGTACAGCTTTCCTCACCCATGAGGAGGGTCTGACGGCAGGCAAGAGCGTCGACTTCAAGGTCGTCGGGAACCCCAGCAAGACTGACGGCTACTGGATCGAGGAGATTGATGAGCCCACCTTCTTCGCTGGTCACGCGGCCGCCATCTACCTGCGTTTGGGTGGCAAGGAGGCGCGCATCGGCGAGTTCGGCATCTTGCACCCTACCGTGTTGGAGAAGTTTGACTTGAGGTATGATCAACCCACCCCTTCCCCTTTTCTGAACCCGAATCTAGACCATCAGATACTAACCTACGCGACAGATACCCTGTGAGCACCCTTGAGATCAACCTTGAGGTCTTCTTGTAGTGATGAAGCATGATGGGATATGGACATGACGAATGGCTACGGACAGTTTTCTAAAACCGTGAAAAAAGGCTTCGCTAGACGCAAGGCGGTCGGATATAGACTATGTTCTTTACACTAGGCGAGCCAAGGCAGATGAAGCAATTGACACCAAAGAATAAAAAAAGATTAAACAAAAAAAAGAAACTGTCGCAACCTCGTTACTGCGTACAGGGTCTGCGCTGCGTACACTTACGACGACCTCTTCACGCGGGCACTCCATGGCACATGGTACATTATCACGGGAACGAGGAGTAGCTTCAGGCTGATTAGAATTATGGAATCAAGAGTACACAGGAGTTCGAAAATCCAAGTGGATCTATATGACGGACCCCCAAGCCTCTCCATCTCCCTCCCATCTCTCGTCTCTCTGCGCGTGAATTCCATCCACGCAAACTTTTCTCTTGCCCTTCCGAACCGCGTTGCTGCTGTATCAACGAACCCATTTCATCCCCATATCCCGTTTTGGACCCTTTCCCAGTCTTGGACGCAAAAAGTTTGTCTTCAACCACATCTCTTGGACGCCGAAAAGCAGAGCGAGGAGGAAACGAATTGCTGGGTATCCAGCATGACGAAGGTCGAGAAAAAAAGGGGCGAAAGCGTCAAAAAGAAGAAAAAAAGTCGTAGTACTTGTACAAAACTCCGGCTCGCTATCATGAAAAGCCGTAAATCAGTCATTTCCCTCCGAGGAAAACGTGTTTGACTTGCATTTGCTGAGAGACCCCATTTCTTTCGTGCCCTTCGTATCGTGAGATGAAAATGCAGCAAGTCCATGCCAAACTCCTGAAATGTCGAACTAGGAAGTCTTGTGCGGCTAGTGGCTGGAGATCACAGATCCGCCGTATTCGGCAGACAGATCCTCCATGCTTGAGTCCACCAAAGATCCGCCATTCTCAGCGGAAAAGTCCTCCGTGCTCGAGTTCACCAAAATGAAGTTGCTGTTATCGGCGACATCCTCCGTCGAGACACGGCCAAGAGAATGAATCAAGAACGTGTCGGAACTGGCGTCGATGTCGGCTGACGCATCTCCATTGACACAGACGCCATCGTCGTCGCGGGTGATACCGTCAGCACAAGCATCTCCATCAGGCATGTCCTCGGCCAAGCCATCGGTCAAGTTTGACCAATCTCTACTAAGGGTGGCGACGTTGGCGACGGCCCTGGTACCCCATTCCCAGACCGTTGAATCGCCCCAGTTGCTAAGTGTATAAGTCGAGTCAGCCCAATTCTCCTGGTAGTAGAGCTCGGCGTCGAGTTTCATTGTAGCGCTATTCACCTCGACGGTGTAAGGCGCTTCGTGCATTCGTTCGAACATGACGCCCTATGTCATCTCCCTGAGCTCTTGCTCGCTGCGGCTTGTAACCCTCGAGGTGGAGGCAGGGCTGGCGCTGCGTCCGGCCAGATTGTTGAGCATCCCACTGACGTTTTTGCCAATATTTAAGCCCGCGATTCCATCCCTTACTGCGCTGAAGGTATTGGAGTTCTCAGCCGACACACTGCGACGCAGAACCGGAGCCTGTCGCTCTTGATAATCAGGCGTCAACGTGGTGTGCGTGTTCTCCACACCTCCCATAACCGACTGGCTGGTAGGGAGAGACGGCGGCTTGAGACTTGCGGCGGAATGGGGCGGGGTTCCAGGCTGGCTATTCGCATAAGAATCCTCCGTGGTTGGGTGCAATTCGTTCATGGCCGTAGCTCTGTTGGCTGCAGCGGTCGCCACGGCGTTGAGGTGTGAGTTCATCTCTTCGTCAGTCCGGTTGAAGAGTTGGTGCCACCAGCGGATGTTGCTCATGTCAGGCACTATGATGCGGCTACGGCCCTTGACATACTCATCAAAGGTCGGATCATAGTCCTTGTTGGTGAACTCTGGCTTGCGGGACAAGAAATAGTCCCAGACCGAAGAAGTGCGCTCAGAGGCACGAGCCTCGTGTCTCTGCTTCTCGGAGTTGTAGAGGAAGGTGCCATACTGACAGGAGTAGAGATGGTAGATAAGCCGGCGAAGGAATCTCTCGTTGAACTCAAACTTGGTCGGGTTCTGGCGGAGAAGCTGATAGACGCAGTCCACAAATTGGTGGAACACAGGGCTGACCATCTTAGGAACAGTAGCCTCATCTTTGGCGACTTTTCCGGTAGAGCCTTCGGTGATGGCATCGAGTTCGGCCTTGTCTTCCTTGCTGGGGTTAAATAGCTGCCTCGCACCAGTGAAGACGTTCTGGAAAGCATCTGCGCGGCCATCATTTTCTCCGGGCTGAATGGTTGAGCCTGCCATCGAGTCGTTCTGGACCTTGAAGTTGTCCTCGTGGTTCAAGTGGCCACATCGAAGCCTAAACATATGGCCAAAGGCAAGCCAGTCCTTCTCGACGAGGACAATGAAACCCTCAATAGTTCGGAAGAAAGGGTCCAGCATGATCTGAGCAAGAGCGCTAAGCTGACTGGTTCGGTCCCAGCCATCGGAGCAGTGAATGAGGACGTGTGACTGCTTCAGCCATACTTGCTTGGCGACGATATCAGCTCCATTCAAAACAGCTTGCGTGTGTTTCAGCCAGTTGGTGGCAGCCAGGGCATTCTGATCAGGGGACAGAGGAGACAGGTCGGCATCCTTGAGACAAAGCATGACGCTCTCCAACGACTTCCTCATCACATGGATGTTCTCGATGTTCATGAAGGCTTTCTTGGCACCTGGGTAGCGGTCCATAGGCTCGGAACCCATTCCTCCAATCTGATTGACCATAGCATTCACAGTAGGTCTGGCGTCGACAATCATGTTGGCTTGTTGGGCACCGTAGATGAGGCGTTTGCCGTTTTCATCAAACATCTTGGGCTCATCGTCTGCGGCAACCTGCTCAGAGAGCTCTCCATCCGTGGATGACTTTTCAGAGATATCTGACTGGCTCAGGCGGGGAGGTTGGTCTTGATCAATGCTGCTTCGGGGCATGATAGGTGCAAATGAAGCTAATACCAGCTTCTCGTCTTGCACATTGTTCTTCCTAGTGATGCCTGAAAGAGGCTGCGAGCTGCGGGTAATAGTGCAGTTATTGTCTGCGTGAATGTAACTCAGGGCCGGGATTCTGTGTCTAGAACGATACTCCTTGGCGTATTTCAAAACGTTGTCTGAGATGCAAGAAGGAACCACCAGAACGGCAGGATAAGTGTCGCAGAAAGTAAAGTCCTTGTTGATGTTGGTGATTCTCCATCCCTTGTCCAATGACTTCTCGCTGATGCCCTGACGCCGGAACTCGGCTTTGGGATCGTAGATGCTCCAGCCATTGATCTGTCGCTCAGCCTTGGAGGGTTTGTGACTGAAAGCAAAGAGCCTCTCGATGGTGCCCAGCTTGCAAGTTCTGAGCTTCACAAACTCAAAGACGTCTCGAGCAACATTGTTGTCTTCAAAATTGAATGTGACAAAGATGAAGTCGCGACAGCGGATGCGGATAGAGCTGTGTATGCCATGGGTTGGAGGCATGAGTCGGAGTATGCACTGCGATAGAATGGGATAGGTGATCCATGATTCTCGAGGTTTCGGAGGAGGTTGATCGGTCTGGTTGGTGGTCTGGTTCTTGGGAGGAGGTGGCGCGCAGAAGACGAGGTGGAAATCGGTCAAGCGCAAGGTGCCGACCGAGGTGAGTCCTCCGTTGATGCACTGGACGTTTTCGACTACCTGTATTTTTTAAAACACACCATGGTCAGCCTTTCCCATTTCATGTAATTTTGCGCAAGAAAAAAAAATAGTCAGTAGAAAGGGCGAATGGCTTACCTTCCTGGCCTCCATGATGAAGTGCAATGTGGAAGATGATGCTTCTTTGAGCTACTGGAGCATGGCCGCGCGCAAATGCGGAAGGCCCGGGACGTAAGTGTTTGTAGGTGAATAAGTTCACTGGAAGAAGAGCAGCAGAAAAGCTGCGCAACTTCAGTGAGGGTAGTGAGGTTGAATAGGGAAAAGAAGAGACCAAAGAAGCCCAATGCAACCACACGATGTTGGAGGTCGGAGGGTTGGGCTGGGTAAGGTTTGGAGGCAAGGTCAGGTAGCGTGGGGAGGGACGGTTGCAGTTGTCAGGTCGGAGGTCGGCTGTCTGGGGTTGATTTTGTTACTGCGCAGTCGCAAAGAGCAGGAGCAGCAGGAAGGGGAGGAACGGCTGATCCACACCATCTACCTGGTCCCTTAGCTTAGCGCGGGGCTGAGAGCAGAGAGCCGACGTCACGGTTTGCAGAGTCAGTGCTTGATGGCCCTCTTCCAGACCAGCAAACTTGCGTGATATACGGATACTCCGTACCTTAGCCTTTTCGCAAAGGAATTTGGATTCTGGTAGGATTATAGAATACCTAGCGAATACCATCTGATGAGTATCATGTCAAGTCCATCTGCTGAGGGCACCACCAGCAGGCAAGGCAGCAAAATATTTGGTAATGAATCGCAGTTTGGTCTGGATTCCAAGCATCAAAATGTCACCCACCGACGCTCTCAGCTCCCCTGTGACCGTCACTGTCATGGCCAGCACGCTGCAAGCCTGCAACCCAACAGGGGACCTCCAAATTCCCACGACTCTGGTCCCCACCAAGCCGAAGCTGGCCCCTTGAAACCCCACTACCGGCCGACGGAGCTCTCTCTCCCGATGTCCCGATGATCAGCCAGCCAGCTGGTTCTGTCCAGCACGTGCAAAGCACTCGAATAGGGTACGTATCGATGTTGATGACCAGACGGGAGGGGGAAATGCACTTTACGCCTGACAGGTCATCACAGCTGGCAAGTGAGGTGGGGTCCACTGGCGCGTCCCGATAAGAACGCAGCACAGACCACAAAAGACCAAAGGCTTCCCCTTATCGCCCGCTTCTCTAGGGCACACAGAATTTGCTCAATTTTTGCAGCGCAAAATCGATCCCGGGGCACTGACGATTGGGCAAAGTGTGGACTACTCGAACAACCTCACTTCTCAACCTTCCGCCCCTCCGCCGAACGAAACCGTCGACACTCAAACAATTCGTCCAACTATCCCCCCCCCTTTCGAAAAACCCGGGCACACGAAAGTCAAGATGGCTGTTCCAGGCACTCAGATGTAAGAATTGTCCTTCCTCTGTTGTCAATGCAACAATTCCTCGAGACCCCCCCCCGCCCGTCACCAAATTTCGCCAATCTCGAATTTCCGAAATGCTTGAAGCAGAAAAGAAAAAGATGAATATTTGGAGGAACAGTCTTTACTGACAATTCGTCTTTTCCATATAGCTCCAAGCGCAGAAAGTTCGTCGCCGATGGCGTCTTCTACGCTGAGCTCAACGAGTTCTTCCAGCGCGAGCTGGCCGAGGAGGGCTACTCCGGCGTCGAGGTCCGCGTCACCCCCACGGTAACCGACATCATCATCCGCGCCACCCACACCCAGGAGGTTCTCGGCGAGCAGGGCCGCCGCATCCGCGAGCTCACCTCGCTCATCCAGAAGCGCTTCAAGTTCCCCGAGAACTCCGTCTCCCTCTACGCCGCAAAGGTCCAGAACCGCGGTCTCTCCGCCGTCGCTCAGTGCGAGTCCCTCCGCTACAAGCTCCTCAACGGTCTCGCCGTCCGCCGCGCCTGCTACGGTGTCCTCCGCTTCATCATGGAGTCCGGCGCCAAGGGCTGCGAGGTCGTCGTCTCCGGCAAGCTTCGCGCCGCCCGCGCCAAGTCCATGAAGTTCACCGACGGCTTCATGATCCACTCTGGTCAGCCCGCCAAGGACTTCATCGACCACGCCACCCGCCACGTCCTCCTCCGCCAGGGTGTTCTCGGCATCAAGGTCAAGATCATGCGCGGCTCCGACCCTGAGGGCAAGGCCGGCCCCCAGAAGACCCTTCCCGACGCCGTCTCCATCCTCGAGCCCAAGGAGGAGCAGTCCGTCGTCCAGCCCATGTCCCAGGACTACGGCGCTAAGGCCGCCCAGGCCCAGGCCGCCGCTGAGGCGCAACAAGCGGAGCAGCAGCCCGAGGCTGGCGAGGAGGCCGAGGCTCAGTCGTAGGAGACTGCCCAGCCGCAGGTTTCTTCTGTCGAGCAGGCTGACTCTTCCAGCCCCGCCGGATGGTAAAAAAAAAGGGACTGGAAAGCTGTTCAGCGCGAAAGGGGGATTTTTCGAGTCTGCTTTTTTTTGTCGCACGCTTCTGTCTCTAGTTCATCCTAGTTTTCTTCCAATACCAGACTAGGGGAATACAAAAAACGGGGTGTTTCGCGCGAAAAAAGAACCAGCAAAAAAGGGAGGACGGGGGTGGAATAACTACTCAGGCGTCTTGATCAACATTCGCATCACTCTGCGAAAGGGAATTCGGATAGTTGCGACTGGCTTGTAATGGTAGAACAAACCATGAAATGAGCAACGAAATCATTCAACAGTAATCTGCAGTCCACTATGTGATGTCATCTATAAACGACTGGTCTCGAAGGGAGGTGAATACTACCAACTACAGGCTACTGTCATGTTGTGTATCAAAGCAGTCCAATCCGCTGCTACTTGTCAATCCTGTCACTATGCTACTACCTGATGGCGGTTTATAGTCGGTCCATGATGCTCAATTCGCGAGGCTCTAGGCCTCGGCCTCGGCCTACGTCTATGGTTTTTGAAATGCTTTGGACAGTGAACAGAAGATGCCAGTCTCCAGGCGGACCAGGGTATGCCTCTCTCTCACACACACATACACCTCTCCCCCATTCGCCTTGCCCTTAATCGTACAACAAGAGGTGCTTTCCGCACGCCCAGTATCCCATTGGAAACCCCGATAAACGCCCCCAAATAGTGATCCTTCCCGTTGCCCAGTGAATACTCCTCGTGCCGTGGCAGATGTGAAATAGTGCAGGGAAAAGCTCGATTCTGGTTTCCCTAGGTGCTTTCCCCTCCCTCACTCGGGGCGCGCGCCTTGTTCCGTGGGTCTTTGCCTCTTTCATGAATCCGATCATGTCGTGGAAAACTTCTCAGTCATTTGACTTTCGCGAAAATGTACAATGCTGCCCCCCCCATTCGGGCCCCTGGTAAGAAATGCTTCGAAGAAAAAAGACAATCACCGCCTCGGCGTTGGCCGATAACTAGAAAACAGACGGTTCATCCTCCAGGTTCCTCATCTGTCGGACCTCTGATTCTGAAGCTCAATTGTCTCATTGTGTGTTTTCGAGTGGCCGTTGGCGTTCCCGTTGGCTCTGCGGTGGTCATTCTCGTCGTCGCTTTCGTCGGCCAGGTCGGTGAGACCGAACTCAGCACCAGCTTCCTCGTCGTAGGCCCTCATCAGCCCCGTTGTATCTCCATGGCGGCTGCCAATGCTCATCCGGTGGGGATCTCCACTCCGGCGTGCCTGCATACTCAAACGAGTCTGGATTGTAGAGATCATGTCCGTGCCGGTAGCATCATCGCCGCCGCGGCCTGCAACGTACTTGTGTCCGTTCGGGTCCGATCTTGACAGATTCAACAGGTAGACGCCGGTAAAGGTGACCAGGAAACCGCAGAGAAGGGATATCGTGTTGACCGTGTCGGTAGTGTTGAAACCGCCGAAAAGGATGAAGGAGGCGCATAGGGTCATGGTCGTGAAGGTTACGTAGTAGAGAGGGTTGACACTACATGGTCCCCTATTAGCGCCATTTGGCAATCACAGATTTGGCGTTCTTTGACTTACATGTTGGTGGGAAACTGAGCAAGAGCCTTATTAAAGTAGTTCATCTGCGTCAGGATGCAAACGGTGGTGAGGATCATGAAAACATAAGTCGAAGGGTGGCTGAACTGATTGTTTCCGGCGAAAGTGAGCTTGAGGGCGATTCCAAAGGCCTTGACAGACATGACCGAAACTGATCCAACCGTTGAGCAAATGGAGAGGTAAATAATCGGGTTCTTCTTTCCGTGGAGCGGCGCGACTCTGTAAATCATGACGACTGCAAAGACGGTAACAGTGAAGGCGTATAACAAAAAGCCTGACAAAGGGGTTATTTCTTGGTCGCATTATTGTACATAATTGTAGACATACCTGGCTGAATGGCGTAGTGCAGGATCTGGTCAACAGTCTGGATATCTTCATCTGGAGGCGCATGTAGCACGATAATGACGGCGCCGATTAGACAGATTGCACTGCCCAGACGACCCAGAACTCCAAGCTCTTCCTTGAGGAAGTATGAACCCAGAACAGCACCGATCAGGACAGAGAGGGCTCCGAGAGGCGTGACGAGAATGGCAGGCGCGAATGCATAGGCAGCGAAATTGCAGATTTCGCCGACAACCACTACGCACGTGTTAGCGGCTTCGTCACCTTCAGTTGAGGTCTAATGCAGACTCACAAGTTGAAATACCAGCCCACCAGACTGGGCTCTTGAGGTATACAAATCCGTCGCCCTCGAAACCATGACGTTCTTCTGCTTGCATGAGACCCTACAGTTGAGGATTAGCTCCCGTACATTGTAAGGTCAATTGTAACTAGTGCCGAGGGCAACTCTGGCGATCAGGAATCGCGGACCTTTTTCGTAACCACGAAACTGATACCTGTGAGGCGAGTATTGTCAGCGATGTAGCCTACGAAAAACTGTGGAAGGAAATGCATACCAATGGCTAAACTCGATGCCATGGCGAGGCCTAGGCCAATGTATCTGCGCGGGTGGTCTGTCAGCGATTTCGGGTTCCAAGGCCAGGTGGACGTATGGGCAGGGTCTGGAGGGCGACCCAAAGGCCGGCCGAGTCGCAAACGTACTTCTCGTCCAACATCATCTTGCCAAAAAATGAGCGCGTCGACTGCGACGGACAGCAAAAAGAGCGTCGGTTGTGATTAGAGTTGTGCGCCGAGGCAAATGCGGTCGCTGTAGAGTGTCGTGTCCCGTGAAGGGGAGCTTGCGAGGCTCGCGCCGGGCGAGGTAGAGAGAGATTTGGAGTGGTAACGTCGAACCTCGTCAGCAGCGACACATGGAAATCCGGGAGCCGGGGGACTCTAGGTGGTCGGGGAGTCGCAGTTGAGGGAGGGGTGTTGGGCAGTCGTGATGGGATCGTGGGCGTTCGTCGTGGAGTCGAGGGAGTCGTCGTGGTCTTGGTGTCACTGAGAGGTGTGTCGGGGCCGGGGATGGTTGGCTGGCGCAAATGGAAAGCCGAAAGGGGAGGGAGAGTGTTTCGTGGGATTTTGCAGATAAAACTGTGAGAGCGGTACGTAGCGTGACAGGTTCGGAGACAGCAGTGAGATGGATCAGGTACCTCTCGAGGGTTCTCGAGGTGCGGCAATACCTTAAGGCGAGGCGATGCAGAAGGCAAGCAAGGTATTGGCGGTAACGGAATGGCAAGGTACCTTTTGCTGCGTCGGTCGATAGGTACGTCAGGTATCCGTACGGAGTAGTGTAGATAGGTACCTTTTCTTAGGTAAGGCAAGTAAAGTAAGGTGGTGGGAAGACTGAGGTGCAGGAAGAATGTGGTCTTGTCTGACTTCGCAGTGGGTAGGTGCGTGTCGAGGAATGCCAACCAGCCAGATAGGGACAGGTTTGAGTTTCAGAGGCCCCTGGGAAGGGTTGAAGAGGTGCCCTGCAGCGAGATGCGAAGCAGGTCAGGTCACCTAGGTATCTGATCCATACTTTGTACAGAGTGTTTGGCATTTCTATGCTCCCAATGTCCATGTCCATGGAGGTAGGTAGGCATCTCCTGCTTGGCAAACCTGGACAGGTAAATTGGAGCGTACGCGTTCTTCATGATAGCGCACTTTCCCTTCTTTTTTCCTTGTGCTATTCAGCTGGGATCTTGTGGTTGTGGACTTGTGGTGGCTCGAATAGACGGACAGCTAAGGTAGTGTTGGTACCTATCGAGAGGTACCTGTGAACATATGTACAAACTCAAAAGGTGACCTTGTCCCTAAAAATACCAGACGGGCCTGTGCGAAAGGACAGGAACGAACTTGGCCGCGGACGCCAGACTTGTTGAATGCGGGTGGGGTTACTGACCTTACACGGTACGGTACCTCAGATAGGTACCTGTGGACTGCTCAAGGCAAGAGGGTCGAGGGGCTGAGGCCGGCCGGAGGGGGGGCCACTGCCGCTAGAGGAACTTGGGAAGGGCCAGGCCAAGCTGTCCATTTTGGACCTGGCAGTGGGCACGCCGCACGCCCTAGAGGCCCGGGGGAGCATCGAAAAGTTCCTGTCATCACCAAACGCTCAGCCTGGTGGGTTTGGCCCGACTTGGTTTGGTCTAGTTCTGAACAAACCACGAACGATGTTGTACAAACATGCCTTGGACTGATACGATATGCAGCGATTCAGGCCAGTGGCCAACACTTGAATCTTATACACCTTGGGCACACCAGCACAACCAGAAGCCTTGGACGGATGTCAGACGGAAATCCAGAGAGGATGGAACAGGCTTCGCATGCGATTTTGGACGGAAGGCGATTTCCTGACAGGGACGCCAAGGCTTGGTTGCTTCTTCGTCCGTACCGTTTCTTCTCGTGTTCAAACTCTCTTATTCCTCTCCTTCATCTGCCCATGTCTATCCATACATACACTCGTCCTATCGCACCACTCATCCGCTTCCCTAAATATTCACGATGTCTTCACCTACCTAGATCTTAGGAACATGGTCACCATACCAACGCCGTTCATCACTGAGGTCATCGCAGCGGCAGCAAGCAGGGGCTAACAATTGGAAAACGGTCCCTTTACTAACGCAACTCGACTCGACTCCGACAGGGGTGCTAAGGGCGCCAAAGCAGGACACCACCTCTATCCACAGGGGGCCGTGGTTGGCAGCAGACTCCCCAAAGACTCCCCAAGTCTCCAGGACTCCTCTTGGAGTGTCAGTCTTGAGGGGCGGTACCTTGGTTAGTCTCATCCTCGATCCACGCTGAGCCCATGAACCCCTGAACGAAACGGACACTAGAAGTCCAACTGTGCAAGCAGTGGAGAGAATACTGCAGACTCTCACTCAACCTTCAATGAACAGGGCACCCAATGGCATAAGGTCTCTAGCGTCATGTACAGAGTATAGGAACATCATCCTTCTCCCCCATGAACAAACAGCAGGGCCTATACGAAAAATGGCGGGAGGCGTGGTCCTCTCGGTCGTCAGTCGACACTATCCGTACAGAACAAGTCAGTGCTTCCCTTCCCACCTGCAAATCTCCATACGAAGATCCGATCCACGACAGAAATCGGCATTTCTATTTTTTCTCTCACAACCCATGTGGGGTCCCATTGAAACAGGTTCATTAAGAATGACACTGTGACTGGTGACTGCTGCCTCCCTCTCTTTCCCCTGACACCACCTCCGCCCTCTCCCAGTCCTGGCAGTCCCCCTCCGAACCCACTCTTGCACCCACGAAGTCTCGACACGACCACCACCAAAACGGCCCTCGTTAATTAAACCAACAGCCACAGCCACCATCTCACGCTTTGCCCATCCTTACCGCGCATCCCTACTGCGGTAGCCGTCGTCGTCACTCGTCACTCTCGTCTTGCCAGTCTGTCACCCAGCGGACGGGAATATCTCGAGTCCGCTTTGCCGATAGTGCCCGAAGCCGGCGACGGCCTGCCGTTTCTCTGCTTCTGTTTCTTCTTATCCACTTGAAAATACAGTTAGATAAAAGAGAGTGACAGGCTCAGTTATCAGTCAGCCATCAAGCAGATGACTGAGACCTTGCTTGTCCCCTCTCCATACGTCCCAAGCCCTTCCAAGCCGTTTTCTCGTGTCAAACCCTTGATTTCCCTTACCATATCTTAGGTAAGAGTGTCCACGACAAGAGGAATGGAAGGCGCAATACCATGCCGTAACTCGTGACCAACGCCTTTTGCTTTTCACGTGGGACCGTCGGCACTAGGTAATACGGATTGAGCACAACACATGTAAGAAACGATAGCCATGGTGCCATTCACGTAATTCGAAATACCGTCCGCTCCCCCCTGCCAATATCACTGGTGGCAGTAGATCCTCTCCTCCTCGCTCCCCGGATCCCCCATCCGAGCCGTTGGGAAACAATTAAAAACAAGAGAACCCGTCCGTTACTTGACAGCTCGTTTCCTCCTACATTTCAATTAACGGCCTAGAAGGGGAGGAAAGATAGGTGGAGTAAGGGAAGGGGCTCAAGCAATGCGGCATCCGCGGCAGAGGTAGCGAGCGCATTGAGCGCGAACGGTCGTCGAAACGAGCACACCACCAAAGGAAAAATTCCGATACGGAGGGACCTATCCGTACACAGTAAGTCTGCCATTATCTGTCCTCTTAAGAATGGGAAGAAGAGAACGAGCGTTTGTCGCAAAAAATCAGAAGGAAGAACGGCAGGGGTTCCCTCGTCTTGCCCCGTTCAAGGGGGCGGGCCAAACGGCAAACCACCTAGGGAAACTCTATCACTCTCCGTACCTGATCAACACGTCTACGACGTCTTTAATATAGGTAGGCAGTCCAAGTAGTTGATTAGTGTTGTGCCCGTACTACCACACTCAAAGTTCCAACAGCTCGGAAAAACTTTCCATCACTGACAGGCCTTAATCTTACCAGCTAAATCACCCAACCGTGATATACTTTCCCCCCAGTGACCATCTACTAGCTCTTAATTACTTGCAGAACGCGCCCGAGCTCTGCCCATGCCAGGGTTTGACTGCTTGTATCCCCGTGTCAATCTTCATGCTGCCATGCTCACGAACGTCTACACCACTAAGGTGTGCTTTTGAAGTCTCGAAAGACTGCTGAGGGCACAACATGAGATGAAAATATGAGGAAGAGAAGAGACTGCTGAAATCACGCTCGTATCGTTGTATAAGCAGGGACCCGCGGCGCAAGCATCCTAACTTTCAGGTCAGATTGAATGGTCTCACTTGCACATCACCATTTACGTGTACCATTTAAACAGGTCTTGTTTGATGACTGACGTTGGATAAGCTTAGTCTTACGGTCGCTATTCACGGTCACACTCGCCCATTAGGTTGAGGTTTATGTGCGAAAGCAGCGACTTGTTTAGATCATGGCTCGCGGAGCTTGATACAGTTGACTCGGACAGAAGCCAGGTTAACCCTCATCAAGTCAAGTAAAGTAAAATATGCGTGTTCTTCGTCAGATACCTCGGGTAGAACTATGCAGGCCGCTCCTTTGGAGAAAATAGACGCCTCAGCTTGCTGGCATGAAATATCTCTCTTCAAGCCAGGGTCCAAAAGTGACTGATCATCAAGTAGATAGCCCAACGGATGCAAACGTTGATCTCGTCCAACTCTTTCTCAAAAAATCTTCAGAAAGCAGGCGTACACTTCACCCTGCTTAGCGGGCCGTTCTTGGTGACCAAATTCATGGCCACCTCTCGAGTCCTTGAGACGTCTTATTGTACAAGATCGACCGTAACCACGAAGGTGATCGCATCGCTTTTGAGCCCCATTTTACGCCAGAATCCACCAACATCGCAAGAGAACAGAGGGGGTATCGAAAAGCTCCAGGGAAGGACGGTATTTGGGGGTATGTCGTTCGTGGAATTGCCAGGTCACCGCCTGGAAATGGTTGGAAGTTGGGAAAGCTGTAAGTCAGTGGGAACAACAATTTTGGAAACCTACCTCGAGGGCTATGTGGTCGCGCCGATCGCGATGCCCTACTTGCCGGGTATATCATCCACGTCTTCGAAATGTCGGTGGCCATGGAATCGGGCTGTTTTGTGGTCTAGTCATCGGACTGGTCTACGTCGGGAAGCGGAAGCCCAGTGGACCTAGATCCGATCGCGTCGAGTGACACACCAAAAGGGGTTAGTTGGGATGTTACCCAAAGCTCATGGGCGACGACGCTTGACGTCTAATAGCAAGTTAGCTCATTATGTTCAACATCTCTTGAGCCTCTTGAGCGTACCTTGTTGAGCTTCAGCATCCAGCAGGTCGTCCACATCCGACCTCTGGCGTTTGCCAGAGGCTGAAGGGGACTCTACGGTAATCTCATCATCCCCTTGCCCGGAAAATTCTCTCCAGTCGATCTCTGCTAGACCATCGTCTTCGACGGTAACCTCAGGTCCAAGGTCCTCGGTATCAGGTAGTTCGGCGTTCAGATCAAGTTCGTTCTCGTAGGTGACCTCTTCGTCCCCGTTCAAGGTAGACGTGGCACTGGTGTTAGGGGTTACCTTTTCTGCGGAGCTTTCATTGGCGTGGTCGACGATCTGATCTGCGATGATTGCTGCGTCTGCATCGTCAAATATGTTCTGTACGTCAGCAGCAGTGCTGAGAGCAGCAGCTTCCTGCGTTTCCAAGGCGAGTGGGTCGGATTCATGGATCTCTGGAGCTTGGGTTCTAGCGTCAGCGTCTGCAGTCGAAGAAAATGTGATGCTGGATTCTGAATAAGATTGCAAATGGCGGAACGTTCTTTGCGAGAGGAGTCCCTCGGGAAGCGCCAACTGCAAATTGCCGAAGGGAGAACGCCCTCGCTGTCGAGCAGATTCCTTGGTCACTCGCACCAAGGACTCGAACCGAAAATCGTCTTCCTCCGCCATCTGGTCTGCGACAAAGGTCGAAGTGCAAGTGGCGCAGAGACAGAAATGAGGGTAGAAGCATAGAGTGACTTGAGAAAGGTCGTCATTACCTGCCTCCCCATTCTCTTGGGGCTGCTGATCCTCCGTTGCATCTTCCACGTCGGCGTCTTCAACGACGCTCATGTCTGCAACTGCGGTGGATTCATCCATCAAAGAAGCCTCGGTATCAACCATGGTAGCCTCGACATCCGGCATCGAAATAGCGCTCTCGTCTGGCTGCAAGGAATCCTCCCCGGTGGCGTTCTGCGACTGAATATCGTCTTCCCCGGTGATGCCATCGCCGACATCGTCGTCTTCGTTGATCTCCTCATTCTCGCCTTCGGCATCATCCAAATTGTGCTCACCGTGTCCGCTCTCGGCGGGAGATTGCGGCCACGCAGCAGCATCGGCGTTATCTTCTTCTCCTATCAGGTCAGGCTCATCATCCATGATGTCGGGCACCTCGCTCTGTGCGCGAGATGCGAAATAGTAGCTAATTTCATCGAGTCCTTTGCCATTATAGGCATCGTCAACGAGCGAAAGCCAGCGCTTCTTGCAATTAGGCCTCGTTGTCAGGTATGCATAGAGGGGCTTGGATGCATCAGCATTCTGGTTTCTGACCAGTGAGTCGAACACGGAAATAATCTGGCCCAATGTGATGTTCCAAAAGACCTCTGCTTGGCTAGACTTTGAGTATGTTAGCAGGGCCTGTGTTTTAGGCGGATGAGAACTTACTTCAGTGAACTCAAGGCCAAGCTCGTCGATTTGGAACACAAGCTCGTCAAAAGGGCCCAATTCACTGGCAAGCTCTCGACGGAAGCCTGCCAATACACCCTCCATTTTGCAGTGTAATAGAGACAGGTCATTGAAGAAACACTCCTTGCCTTGGCTGTCCGGGGACCCATAGAAGAAAGGATAGTCGATGCCCTTGTACGAGACAGTGACGACGGGAATTTCCATCTCTTCGTTAGTTGGCGTCTCGGCCGACACAGACGATCGCGCGTCGGCAAGAACTTCGTCATCGAATTCCACGTGCTCGTGGATAGATGAGTTTTCAGCAACTGCGTCGTAGTCTTCGGTGTTGACGACATCATCATGGGTATCCTCATCGTTGACCTGGTCAGCGTTGGCAACGGCCATGATGCTCTCAAGCTCTTCCTCGGGCTGCGATTCCATATCTTCGCCCATGGGATGATCCTCAGCATCCTGTTCCGTCGGGAAATCGCCGTCGGTCTCTTGGTGGTCTGGAGGATGCTCTGGGTGAGTATCGCTGGCGTCCACTACGGCATCGACGGTTGCTACGTTGCTGCCGTCGTTGAAGTCTATCTCGTGCAGGTCATTGACTTCCTCGTCTTGGGGTTCGACAGCTTGCTGTTCATCTAGACCAGCATCGGCATCGTTAACGTCAAACACGTCTAGGTTTGCGTCCAAGTTGTCTGCATTATTTGAAGAGTCCGCAAGCTCTTGGTCGGCTTCGTGGGCTTCCGTTTCTTCTTGTTCCCCAGCATTTCTCGCGGGGCTCAGGCCGCTTTGTGGGAAACCTTCCTTCTCTTCCACTAGTTGCCATTCCTCTTTCTCAAGGGTGATGGGGCTCTCGTCCTGACTGTTCACGTCCTGGTCGTCCTCGCCCTCGTTTTTCTCGTCCTGGGCTACGTCCTCATCGTTTGCCGGACCGTCTTCCCAACTGATCTCATTCTCAGCGAACAAACCATCTTCGGGCTCGGCAACATCGGCGTAGGCAAGAGATTCATCTTCGTTTACGTAAGAGTCTTCAGCTTCTATCGCGCTAACAGAATCAAGGCCATCAACTTCAAGCCCATAAGTGGGGTCTAGGTCGCCGGGCTGTAGTGATGCATCGGCGGCAACAGAAATAGCATCAGTCTCTGCATCGGCATGTTCGTCGATGGTCTGGTGTTCCGGCTCTAAGGTGCTCGTTTCAACGTATTCCGCTTCCTCAGCGACGAAGTGGGCATCGGCGGGAACTGAGGTGACGTTGGCGCCTTCTATGACGACGGCAGGAGCTGCCGAATCGTCCTCCGAATAGTCAATATACTCCTCGTGGAGCTGGCCCTCAAAGCCTAGGGTTGAGGCTGGGGCTGCTTCGGCAGTCATTCCTGCTACAACCGGGAATTCGTACAGCGATGTCTGGTCTCGCGGTCAAGATTACGTTGCCTCTGTCGGGACGCTTGTCTCTTTGTCTGGCAGGTTCGGGTCGTGAGAATTCGGATGTCCGCTCGATGACGCTGACGAAAGCCAAAGGGTCAGGTATCAGCTAGAGGTCGCTTCGGTAGTATTTCGTGTGTATAGAGTTCTGAGTTTCCGGTGTGTTTTCCTTTGAAGGTAGCTCCCGTGGGTATGGACTGAGGAAGGAAAGGGAGCTTTGGTAAAACAAAGAGTATGGATATGGCGGGTTGAGGCCAAACAAGACGGATGAGGTGGAGTTGACCAAGGCGCGTGGGAATTTAAAAAAAAGGTCCCAGGTGCAACCTCCACCCCTCTACGTGCCGTAGGCGCAGGTTGACGCGCCTTCTGGAGGCAGCTGCCGCTTTACCATTTACGGATTAGTGCCGGCTGCTGTACGTAAGGTTGTATGGTCCGTGCACTGGCCAGATTCACAATTCCGACCTCAATATTCAAGCTCCCAATGTGGTCCCTCCTTCGGCCTGGACCTTGAAGTCGAATTGCGACAGTCCACCTACTTCCTCAATTCGCTCTATACCTGTCACCATACTCCGCCAAAATGGTAAGAGGAGTCTTGCGGCAGCTGTGCTTTGGGTATCGACATGCTAACGCTCTCAGGTCGTCCTCGCAGCTTCGATTTGCACCCGCGGCGGGAAAGCTGTCCTCTCCCGTCAGTTCAGGGAGATGCCACGATCCCGCATTGAAGCCCTCCTCGCGTCCTTCCCGAAGCTCGCCGACAGCGGCACCCAACACACGACCGTCGAACAAGACAATGTGCGCTTCGTCTATCAGCCCTTGGACGAGCTTTACATGGTTCTTATTACCAACCGCCAATCCAACATCCTCCAAGACATCGATTCCCTGCACCTGTTCGCTCAGGTTGTGACCAGCACATGCAAGAGCCTCGACGAGAGAGAGATTCTGAAGAATGCATACGAACTTCTCAGCGCCTTCGACGAGCTGGTGACGCTTGGATACCGCGAGAACTTGACCATCAGCCAGATCAAGACCTTCCTCGAGATGGAGAGTCACGAGGAGCGGATCCAGGAGATCATCGCACGAGTCCGTTTGACCGATACCCAGTACCTGGAGATACATCATACTGATTGTAAGGATAGAACAAGGAGCTGGAGGCGACAGAGGAGCGCAAGCGGAAGGCCAAGCAGCTGGAGATGCAGCGGAAAGAATCGGCTCGAGCCGGCCGCGTTGGTGGTGGTATGCCCAGAACACCCAACTACCCGACTTACACCCCCCCTACGCGCCCGACCCCGACGGATACGTACGACTCTTACGAAGCTGAGAAGAACAAGACGTTCAACAAGTAAGTGACTTGTGGATAATACGTGGCGGTGACTGCCCGCTAACATCCACAGGCTGAGTGCCCCGAAGGGCAAGGGTATGCAACTCGGCAAGAAGTCGAAGACCACCGACATGTTCGAGCGCGTTCGAGGCGAGATGGGGGCCGAAGTCGATGATACCCCCCTTGTTACGCCAACCCCAGCTCACGTTCCCGAACCTGCGGCAGAGTCTCGCGTTTCCTCTACTCTTGGCCGTGACGCCATTCACATCGTGGTCAACGAAGCTATCAGTGCCAAGTTGTCGAGAGAGGGTGCCCTGAACTCTCTTGCGATAAGTGGTGACTTGAACCTCCGTATCTCGGACCCGAGCTTGACCAAGGTCAAGCTGAACCTGACTGCCAACGCCTCCCACGGTGCTCAGTTCCGCACGCACCCCAACGTCGACAAGAACCTGTTCAACAGCACCAAGACCATCCAGATGAGCAACACTGCCCGCGGCTTCCCTACCAACCAGTCAGTTGGCGTGCTGCGTTGGAGAGCAACGGCCAAGGCAGACGACACCAGCGCCTGCCCCATTACGTTCACTGTTTGGATCAACAAGGATGCAGACAAGTACAACATGACGGTCGAGTACGAGCTCACGGGCGGCGACACATTGAAGGATGTTAGCGTGATCATCCCCTATCAGGCCAGCGAACCTGTGGTATCGAGCTTCGATGCTTCGTATGAGGTTTCTGGCGACTCACTGGAGTGGAACATTGGCACGGTTTCGGATGAGAACCCTAGCGGTTCTTTCGAGTTCGAGGCCGAGACCAACGACGAGAACGACTTCTTCCCAATGACGGTCAGGTTCTCTAAGACCTCTCCCTTCATCGATGTTGATGTAAGTTGCGCCTCGACAGTTTCTATTTGTTCGGAAGCTAATGCATAAACTAGGTTACCACTGTCTCTCTGATTGAAGAGGACGAGGAGGTCACTTTCTCGAAGGAAATTAAGTCTCACGCAGACAACTTCCTAATCGAATAGAATGTAGCTACTTTTAGATTGAGACTGGAGCGGGATAGTCAGGGGTAGCAAAAGCTGGGCGCCAACTGATGAGTTTTCCAAACAGCGGGTTGACTTGCGGTGCTGGGAAACGGCCATGATATTCGGCTGCATGAAATGAAACGTATCTTAGAGAGTCTAGGGGATGCGAAAGCTCCGAGTAAAAGAAGTTATTTATCGACTAACATCATCTCTGCCCTGGGCCATACTCCGTACTGCTGTAAAGGAAAGAAAGTATTCCACCGCGATCGAGCTGTTGATCCACCACGTCTTGCAGTGACAGTGTTGCGCGGGGCGCTAGCCCATCCTTGTCAGTGGCAGGTACAACGCTGGGTGCAGTTCCCACAGAATGAATGGGCGGGACCTACGAACGAGAGGTACCTACCTGATGTACCTCAACTCACACTTCGACATCTGTAAAAGTCGTGAACCTTCCAAACAACAACAGCTATTTGCGCGAAGCAGATTCGCCGAACCCAATTGAACTGCGGATCTCACAGCTCAATTCCATGAAAGTCAACACTCAGACGCCTGGTAGTTGCCGTCAACAAATCGTCCCACGGGACTAGCAATGGTCCTTCGAGAAGTCATCACTCCCCTCTTAATACGGATAGCTTCGTATATTCGAAATGGATGAAACCATGCAGCTACGGCACTACAGCGATACCAAGTTCGACCACCGTGTCGCCGAAGGCTTTCCATGCAGTAACCCAACGGTTGACCTCTCGGTCAGCTGGGACGCACAAGGGAAGAATCTTTTGATCTATCGCCCCAGAGAACACGTTGTGTCCAAAATCCACCAGTTTGCGAAGCCAGGTCAACAGGCTCCAGAGCCCCAAGCTGTGAGATGGAAACCAGACGGTACGAAGGTATTCTCGACTATACTAGAGAGCAGTGTCTAATTTGATCACAGGCCAATTTCTTGCTGTGGGCTGGAGTGACGGGTACGTGAGGTTGATGGGCCTGGAGAACAACAAGGCTGCACATCACATTCGCGTTTGTGGGGATGACACAGCGGCGCCAAACATCACTCACATCGGCTGGTCGCGCAACATAGTGGGCAGATCGCAGAAGCAAGCCCGGCAGCCGCCTCCGCAACCATGGCAAAAACTCATGTCAGAGGAGCTGAATTTACCCGGCAGCCCGGCCTCGTTGGAACTTCCTCGAGAACTCGCCTTCTTAGAGGTAGACTCTGCATTACCGAAAATCAGTCCTCTACCTAGTTCCAGCGCCGGTGCAGGGTGAGTATAGTCAGCTATGATTCAGATGCTGTTGCTGACTGTGGCTTTAGCGAAGATGGCTTGGTGTTCACATTAAGAACTGGCATAGACTTCCTGTTCCAGCCTTTCAACACAGAGGACAGTGACCAAGTCTTTGTCATGGTGGTAGGCACGAGTGATGGCCGCCTCCATCTCAGCATTTACGATTCCTTCGTCATCGGCGACTTCCGATACACGCTTCCCAGCTCCATGTACAGACCAGGTGTTCTTCAGCTCATTCAACATACCTCTCATCCAGAGGTTTCCACCCACGCTCTCCTCCTAAAGTCCTCAGCCGATAACGACCAGGCAGTATACTTGGTTCCCATGGATCTGCCCTTTATACCCTCGTCCCCCATCAATATCTCTCTCCTAGCGTCAAAGCTCACCACGTTACAGAAGCTGCTGCGTTATGTTAAGCAGACGCAGCTCCACATGCAAGTAGAGTATAAGAACACAAGGGAGCTGCCGTCCAAGTTCTTACGAAGTGTCGAAGGAGACTTGGAACAGATAGCACATGGGCCGACAAATATTGTTCAGGCTCTTTACCACACAGTTGTCACTGGCCATGCACATGAGCCACTCCGAGAATGGTTGGTTGACAGTTTGGCCGAGCGCGTAAGTAGACGCTTTTCTCGCTATGAAATGTGCAACTGACAGCTTTTCAAGGGTCACAAGCGATGGGACAAGGCCGTGACTGCGGGACTGGAGAATTTGCGCGGGTTGATACATGAAAATCTTCTCCCATCATTAGAAAGATGCGCCATCATTCTCAGTCGCCTTCGTGGCCTTGCTCAGTTTTACGACTCGCGCGACGATATTGGCTTCTCTGTGGCCCAAATCACCCGCGCAATGGACATAGTGTCTTGCATTACAATGGTCGGACACAAGATTCTCCTGAACGTCATGGACGAACTCGACCTCTTCCATGCCTTCTCCACGTGGATGCGATTCCAGATTGACCGTTTTGCGGCCCCGAACTCGGCGAGCGAAGAATTGACGGAAAAGGAGGCTACAATGGAGAACAGCAAGGTTCTTGTCTACGTGCAGCGCTACCTCATCGAGAGCCCCATGGCCATATTCCTGGACGAAGTGGCCACAGACGATTACTCGGCGAATTGGGAACGAGCTGAAAGCGGGACGTCAATGCTCGAAGAGCTAGATACACAGCTCAAACGCCAGGAAGAGGGACAGGCATACCTGAAGGCCTTCCCAAATGTGGGCTTCTTGGTCGACTACCTCACTGCCCGCGTGAATGGGGTGTTCAAGGATATTGCCGAAGCACAGAAGAGGAGCGTTCGATTTGGTCAGCCGACAAAGATTGGGTTGGGCCAGAAAATTGCGAAGATCGACTCTACCATGTGCTCGGAAAGACGAGACGTAAGTGTTCAAGTTCCTCAGTGCCAACACGCTCAATTGACATTTTTGCAGGACGAAATTGATGGCCTCACCTTCACCGCCGTGACCGAAGAGGGTCGGGATCAAGAGTGTCAGTACTTTCTCGTGACTACCAGCCAAGTCTCACACTAACCGACAGCTTGACAGTCTTCGTCTTCCGAACATCTATCCGCATCATCAACGGTATCAGCAGCAGCGTCGCCACGACAGTTGCTGCCCTATCTGTAGACGATGGCAAAATCGCCGAGGTCAAGTTCATGGACAGCACTACGTTAATTCTGCTTGTGAACAGACAAGGTACACTCATAACTGCATATTCTAAGGCTTCTACTAAAACCCCTCTCTAGGAAAACCCGCCAATGTCACTATGGTACCCATCCAGTCTCCCAGCATTAATTACGTACCCTATCAAGAAAACAACCTGCCAGCTTCTACACCTCTATACAAACAAATCCAGGCAGAGCTCGTCACGAAAACACTCCCCGAAGACCCGTCCTTCACGCCGATACGGATGGACGTACAAAATGCCACGGACGCCCGCGGCGAAGTCCCGGCACGCGTATGCCTCCTCGGCGCCAGCCGCTCAATCTACAAGGTCTTCAGCCTGTCGTCCGGCCACGACGACAAGGACGCTCCGCGAAAGACGTCGGCACCAGCCGCGCGTGGTGACTAGAAGACGCCCGTGCCCCTGTCGCCAGGTAATATGTTCAGGGTGCCGCCAAAGCGGTTCACGCCGCGCAGTAAGAAACGCATGGCTGTGCTGGATATGCGGAGGTTGGAGGCCGCCACGCTGGATGAGCTGTTCCATAGAGAGTAGGCTTGTTAGAGTGGGATGGGAGAACTTAGATGATGTGGAGTGGGTGAATAGATGAATGGGAGTAATATTACCGAGAAAAGCGTTGCTGGAGCCCCCTTTCCCTACATCAACGTTGGCAACGCAGAATAAGGGTTTTTTTCGTCTCCTGACAAGCAGTAGCTGCCATAAACTTTTGCAAAGTCGGCAAGTTCAGCCACGATTCTCCAAGCTCTTAGGAAAGTACGGCTGCAATGAACCTCCTTCTTCTACGGATTGAGCTTGTCGACCACATTGGAGATACATTGAGGCAGGAAAGTAAATCAGCCATTTCCCACATGAAACCACTTGCCAAATCCAAACCATCACCCCTACTGAGATTTTCTCTCTTCAATACAGTATTCATGTCTGAATACGGACCCAGAGACGACATGGACGAAATTGGCGACCACCCGGACGAAGAGAAAGACGTCGAGGCTATCATCAATGGCCAGCTAGCATCCGCGCTATTAGACACTGAACAGGCCAATTTACATTGCGGAGTCTTAGAGACACTCGCGGATTATACCCCCCTCGGGGTACAGGATGACACTCCCAAAGTACTCCGTCTCTTTGTAGACAAACTCCCAGCCAAGGGACAGTTGGTCCTGCTCTCGGAGATTATGCGATATAAGAACAATCCAGCCAAGCTGAGGCAGCTCCGTGACTTCCTCATCCAAGCCATTTTGATACCTCGTATGCATATGCTCTATTTCGCTTGAGTCGAAGCTAACCCATTGCATCTCTTAGTCAAAACTCATTCAAAGCGCAAAACTGAAGAAGACATTGTGTCGCCAGTATCTGCTTCGAGTTCCGAGATAGAACGCCCAGATCCGCTTCTTTTGGAGATCGAGTCCTATGTCGATGATTCAGAGTTGAGAAGAGATTGCCTCCTCCGCGATGGCGGCCAATGTGTCGTCACGAAGTGGTTTGACAAGGGCTGGTTGGAGAAGAAGTTCTCTGGGCAGATGATGCCTCAAGGCTGTATGAGCACCCTAGACTGCGTTCACATTATCCCGTTCTCGATTGGGAATTCCGACGAGCGGAAGCAAAAGGGGAAGATTTGGTGGGCGCTGTGGAGATACTTCCCTGATCTTAAGGGGAAGATCGCCCCCGACACAATCGATCAGACTGGCAACGCTTTCATGGTGCAGGCAATAGTCCATGACGATTTCGGAGACCTCGAATTTGGTTTCGAGCGGCAACATGATTCGGTAAGTTATCATCGTCTTTATCAAACTATTCAATCGTAATTAACTTAGTCCTAAAGACTGCGAAATACAACATCCGCTGGTTTTGCGCATGGAATCCCGCTATCGGCCTATTCAAAAACTACCCCGAAGTGGTGGAATTCGCTTCTGTAGATCCTGGGGTCACGGAGCTACCAGACCTAGTCTTCTTGGACGTGCATTATCGAGTAGGAGACATACTTAATATAAGTTACTAGTGGTTCTCCTCCCCCTCTCGTATTTGCCTCTGTTTCTGCCACCACTCTTCTCTATCCTAAAGTACCTCTGTTATGCATATATTCCTCAAAGAATATACTTCAAGAGATATAAATGGGGATAGCGGTAATAGCAGTGGTCTTCTACCTTGTCACACCCACTTGTTCCCTCGATGCCATTTTCTCACCAACCTGTTCTACTTCGGAGTTCTACATTCAGAAACTTTCACTTGGGCTGGTTAGCCAGATGCAGTTCTAGTCAAGGGACAAATACCATTTTGTACTTCTTCAATAGCGAGTTGTTTACGGGTGCTGCAAGTCAAGCCATCATGGTTCGAGTTACAAGGTCGCGTCTGAGGAGGGACTCGGTGGGTGGGAAGCAACGTTTCTATTCCTTAGACGAATGATGAAATCGCATGCAAGGGCGGTGCGATGACAAGCGTACTCTGCGTATGCTATTCGTACTTCTGAACGCGATCGTTGATATTTTCCCGATAACAGAACCTACTTACACAACACGGGAGTCTCTCCACTTGCGTCCCTCCGTACTCGATGCTCGGTGCTTGACGTCCCAAAGCTTCTCAAATCACTCATGCCTCATGGTCCCGTTCATGTCCCCCAAAACCCACCCATCCAGTCTCACTTCCTCGACTTTGTAATCTCAAAGAACTCGGTGACGCCCTGCACGACAGCCTCCACGTTCATGTTGACGAGCGGCATGCGGTCATACGAGTCCTCCTTCATAATCGCCACGAGGGCAAGGTACCGATCGACCTCACGCAGCATGATAGGCCGCTGCGAGTCGTGCAGGACCATGCAGCTCTCGGCCCAGTTGCACGCAACCTGGTCCTCGACTTTGGCATTCCAGGGCTCGGCCTCGAGACGCTTGCGCTGGCCGTCGGACCGCGGCCAGGAGCCGTAAACCTCGGTGATGTCGATGATGACGTCAATGTAGTCGGAGCAGATCTCGTAGGAAGCCATGTCGGCCGTGGCGGAGTCGGTGGCGATGTAAATCTTGGAGAGCACGTCAAAGAGGTAGGCCTTTTCGAAGCGGCAGGTTCGGCACAAGTTGGTGAGCATGGCCTCGAGGGTGCCGAGCTGGGGGATGAGCTTCTGGATGACCTTAGAAAAGGCCTCAAAGATGGAATGGTTGTAGATGGACGTCAGGTGGAACGTGACGGGAGCGTTTTCGAAGCCGTGGTCCGAGAGCTCGTCTTGGATGCGGATGGTGATGTCGCGCTGGATGTCGAGCTTGTAGTCGTCCGAGAGACCGTCGACCTTATGTATAAAGACCTCGATGTTGATGTTTGGGTAGAAGCGCTGGAGGTTCAGGACTGTGGCGTTGAGGCGGGCTACGGCTTCGAGGTAGTCGTCCTGCGCGTCAATGACCCAGATGAGAGCGCCAATCTCGCCAAAGATGGCGTCCATGTCAAAGTTTGGGTTCTCGAAGAAGTCAATCTGGCCGGGGAAATCCCAGACCTGGTAGTCCATGAAGGATCTGAGGAAGTTGTTCAGTAAAGGTTGCTCATCACAATGGCTCGGGTGGAGTCCTTACGCCATGGAGTCCTTCTGGATACGAGCTGTCGACTCAAGGAAAAGCGTCTCGTTCGGCGGTAGCTTATGGAAGACGACGCTCGATATTGATGACTTACCGCTCCTGTCATCGTAGTCAGCATGGACTTCACCTCTGGTACCGGCATGGAGGAGTGGCATACCTTCTCTGACCCATCAAGAGGAGTCTGGGCTTCCCCTTTGAAGGGGGGGCCGGAGGCATCTCCATAATCTTGCTCGCATCCTGCGGCTGTACTCCTTGACTCTGATCGTAGACACGCTGGAGTGTTAGCCTAGCTGGACTTAAACGACCGTTTGTTCGCAAAGAGCCCCCGTAGGGAGAAACACCCAAGCCATCGACCGCTTGGGACAGCATGGAATCTATAGAACGGGGCGATTTGTCCATTTCGTAACTCAGAGGGGGATGGTGTTGAAAGGCAGCCAGCTTTCTCAGAAGCGCAACTCTAGTATAAAGGTAGACCACGAGAGCTTGCGTGTTAATGAGTTATAGTATCGCCGAGGTCGTTGCCACGCTGTATGCTGCTTGCCCTTCGTTGTTTGTCGGTGTCTCGGGAAAATGGATGCCACAGACCGAGGGACCCCTCGATGTTTGCACGGGTTCTTTGATGAGGTCGACCGGATCTCAAGCCTGACAACGATGCGTGACGGGAATCGAGCCGTGTCCCTCAAACAAAGCTGTTGCCAGCGAGGCACCAAAAGCCTGGCTGGCCTGCCACCAAACCCTCGCATCAACTCGCTTGCGGCTCCTCCAAAGTGACCCAATCTGAAAAGCTTGTTTTTCTCAGACACGTCGAAAAGAATACGACCGCCTTCGACGGGCACACGCAGCGGAGATCTGCCGGCTCGAGGTCTGGCGCATCTTCGTAATAAAAAAACGTGGCTTGAAAGCAGGGGCAAAGTTGAGAAAAAGTTGGCCTTCATGCAGGCCCTTTCGAAGAAGAACCATACGTCGACGCCCAATGTGTTTTATTTGAACCAGCTTTGACTCGATGCTGATCTCAATGTCGCACAAAACACCACATCATCCATGACACCGTGGCTCAGCCCTTCCCGCTTGATCTGACGAGGGACAGCGAGTTGACTACCCGTTCCCGCGGACGAACCATGTTGGCTCTCCTGTTGTCCGATGACCTCGCCGGCATGAACACTGAGGTGACGCAGAATGCAGATGCGCAGCGTATGCTGATGGTATCCAAGTTGCTGAGAGCTTGCATCCCGTATAAGGAGTGAATGCGTGTCCTTGAACGAGCTGGAGTCTGCTTCCAGAAGTTCGACCCAAGAGCCCTCATCAGGCGTGTCCCAGAATATCGTATAGTTGAAATCATTTTGCATTCGCGACTCGTCTGTCGAAGCCTCTCCAAGAGTGCGTAAAGGATGTATGAGAAAGCAGGGCAAAAAGGACCGCAGCAGCTTGGGTAGGAAACGAAGACCACAACATTGAGAAACTTCAAGAACTCACTTCCATTTTCCTCTCAGACTCCCTAAACTCTTTGCTTGAAGTCCTGTCGTCTAGTTCACAAGACGCACCTGCTTTGCGCCGTTGAGCGTTAGTCGTCGTCGAGGCTAGTCGTTGGATCACCTCACTCCACAGCGACGGCCGCTGATAGGACCCTCGTTTCCCGGAATCGACGCTGACACGGGCAGGTGTAAAAATACGTGCCGCTCTCTTGCTTGGTAAAGCCCCTTCCGACCCTCCGACAGTGGTTGTAGAGAAGTGAGGAAGCCTGTTTCGCTTGAGTACAATGTGCTGGAGGTACGTCTGGCCTATCACCGAGTGCGTATCTGTATGCCGTGACCGTTTCCAGGTTGCATATCGGACCTGTGGAGCGGGCAAGGCGGGTGGACGGGCGAGGCAAGCACTACTGCGTAAGGTAGGTAGGTATTCGTAAGGTGGTAGGGGAGAAATGACGATGCAGGAGCAGCGATAAGATAAACACGGCCTGAGTCGATGAAAAAAAAACCCCGTGCTGAGCGCGTCTGAGCTGGCCCAGTACTGGACGGGTTTCCACGCAATTTAAGCGAGACCCCACCTTCCAGGTTCCAGGGTACTTCATTCAGCTTGCTCACTGTACACGGCACTTGAGTAGGCAAGGTTTCTCACCCGTTCATCTCATCACTCAAGACTCATTCGCTTACGTTCACCACCACCTCAATTCATGAGTTTGGTAAGACGTCGATGCCCAAATTCATCATACAACTTCCCCATAAAGGTTCCAAAAGTCACTGGACTCGGAACTTGGGACACAATCAAGTATATTTTATGATAGTCGGTCATTACAGATACTTATCTACCTGATGTCTCAAGTAACATTAGAAGGTCACTGAGAATGCAAAGATCGTTGATCAATGAAGGGTAATGATAAGGTTGATATAATTAGTGAATGCATAGTTTTGGCATGTATGAGTTTGATTGAGACGAGTACAGATCAGTCTGCCTCTCAATCATAAAACTCCTACTATTAGACAGTACAGATACGATTACAAATGATAGAATTCCAGACTTATGACTCCAGCATGCCCGAGCGGGCTGTAATGCAGAACTCCGTCTCCCTTTTTATCGATGCAATGCTCTGTTTCTTGACCTCGTCAAGTTCCAATTTGACCACTGCTCCAGACCCGATAAAGAGCACAATACAAAACAAAGAGAAAGAGAGACTTCAGCTGGGAGATAGAAGTAAGAGTCACCGTTTACGATGCTACGGTAGGCATGGGCGCGGGCGTGCTCCTAGGGGAGCGAGAGAACAGCGCAATGACGAAGCTGCTCTTTCGCTTTGCCACCTTGGACTTCTTGAGAGATGCCGAAGTGTTGGTAGGCGCCTTCTCGACTTCCTTGATAGGCGCATCAGCCTTCTCATCGGGAACCGCAGCCGGGGTCTTGTTGGCGTGGACCTCGGGAATGGGAGGGATCGGGGGCGCATCGGTTGCGCTATGCGGAGGAGTAAGCTCATGGGGAGGAGGCATGACCGAGTCTTTGTGAGGAGCAACGGATTCTCTTCTAAAGTCAAAGACAGAGCCCTTCCTACCTCCGACAATGGAGCCGTGACGCAGAGCTGACATGGACTGCAGGGCTGTTAGCATATCTCATATTGATCATGATTATCATAGTACACACCTTGCCGCTGATACTCTTGCGGTTGCGACCGCGGCGCTCGGCAATGGTCTCTTCCTCCTCGCCAGTCATCTCCGCAATGTGAGAAGCGGTGGTCTTGCCGTTGACAGCCATGTTCTCTGCCGGGACTTCGACGAACTTGACGAATCCACGGGCGGGTGCAACGCCAAGAGCTTCGTGGAGGTGCTTCTGGAGCAGGGCCGTGTTCCTCTTGTTCTTGGTCACGCCGACCTCGAGCGGTAATGCATGGATCGACATGGTGTAGGCCGGTTCAAAGGTACCTCCAAAGAGCATGCAGGCCCCATGCTGCAGGTTGACCACGATCGAAGTTACTGGCCGCTGGTACCTAACCGACAGCTGGTATGAAAAGTCCGTGATAAAGCTGAACTCGTCATTGATCTGTGCAAGGTGTGTTAGTCGGGAATCCTCTACTCGTGACCCAGAAAAGCACATACAATGACGTTGGTGCGGAGCTCTGCCATCACGATGGCCTCCGCACAGGCGCGGTCCTTGATAACATTGGACTCTCTGTCGCCCTGGAAGGCCTCCTCGTAGTAAGAGCTGCGGCGTTTAGCCATGTCGGCTTGCGTCTTGGATTTTCTATTGTTGTTGCGAGTATCGCCGGGTAGAGAGTGAACGACGTCTCGAGTAAGACTATCCCCTTCGACAATAGGGGTGGGTGCCGTGGAAGGACGACGACTCATCCTTCTCTCGGCAAAAGACATGCCTCCGACCTGGGAAAGACGTTTGTTCTCGGGGGTGACGGGTGGGTGAGAGTGAATCTTCTCGTTGGTCGTGCTAGGGGTGACAGAATCCGCGGGAGGGGAAGAAGGCGGGGAGACAGGGTCGGTCATTTTTTTTTTTTGGCAACGATATTCGAAGGCCCGAGGCTGAGATAAAGGTGTTTCGACGGTGCTTAAGAATTGGGCTGATGTATCAGACGTGGCTGTCTGGGAACGGCGTATTTCACTAGTAGCGGCCGTGTTAGTGTCGCCCATCGGCCAGAAACCACCTAGCTCGACACGTACCGAAGAGAAACCAACCGCTATCGTCGAGTGATGTTGGCGAACTGAGCGAGTCTGGACAACTAGATTCCCCTTGGACTTGGCGTAATATGTTCAGCTGTCAAGAATGCAGTGTAGATAGGTCGAGCGGACGACGCGCACGGAGTCTCTCGTATTCGAGGCGGCTAGGGCTGGAAACAGTTGCCGAAAGGATGATAAAGGCGCAGAAGGTCGATGCAAAGAACCAGCCACTGAGAGAGAAGTCGGGTTGCCGATCTTACAAGATGTGGCAAGGAGACGAGACGCACTGAGCGGGATACGGTGGAGTTCCGAGGGTGTTTGATATGGGAAACAAACAGCTGGACGAACGAACAAGAGCAGGATCCGACTGCCTGGTGACTCGGGGGACTATTATATGAGGTGAAGATGGCTGGTGCTAGCTGTTGCTGGTCGTCAGCCAGAGGAGCTATGGGGACGCGAGTCGTTGGGACGGAATCGATGCAGAGGCGGTTAGCCACCCAGAAACGCGAGGAAATGGTTGAAAACGGAAAGAGCCAAGGCCAGATGCGCACTCTACGCCTTTCTTCCCACTTGACGAAGCCCGGTTTCAACGCAAGACAGGTCGATCAGAACGAACGGAAGGAGGAAAGATGGAGAAAGAAAGCGGGCTGGACTGAACTGGATTGGACGAACCTTGCCAAAGCTCGCATCTTCTTTTGCCTCACCTGGATACCGGTGTTCTGATTTCAAGGTACGTTACGTAGGTAGGGCAACTTGCCTCATCTAGTATTTGGTATGGGAAGATGCGGTAGTAGACCGTAACTTATCTGGCCAGGTAACAAACTACCTAACTTACCTTGACTAGAGTGAATGTGTGGGAGGGCTGTACCTCATGTTGATTGACCACGCGATATCTGGAGGCGAGGCATGGCCGTGTTACCTAAAATTGTCTACAACTAGGCTACAACGTGTGTGTTGCCAGGGTTCTCCGTTGATTGCGACCGTGGAGTTTGGGTGTGCGTGGTACACGACATGAACAACCTGGAAACCCGCAATCATCCTACCGTGCCTTCGTTCATTCATACCTTACCTCTGCCATTCTCGGCCGTGTTGCCCGCAGCATAACTTATCAAGCTGCATGTCTGCGACACGAGAGATTGCTTGGGATTCCGCAGGTCTGGAGCCTTCCCGCTGCCGTCAGTGCTAAAGGGGCATGGACCAGAGACATGGTCAAAGGCAGTCTAGGTACGTAGTAGATACCAGAAATTCAGGGTTCAGGACACGAGGACCGGCTCTAGAATGCAAAAGCGCCTAAACCGGTCTACGGCGGTAGACTGTGGTGCCTGAGATATCGGTAGACGAGAGCGAGAAGGGTAAGGCCAAAGGCACGCCGCAGCCAGCTGCTCGGCCAGCCGCATCATGGACTGTGCGACATCCGGAAAGCGCTGACAAGAGGGGGGGAAGAAGTTGTTTGCTGATTCCGCGTGGTTTGTGGGTGGGGGGGGGGCAAGTCTGCTTCCTCTGGCTCTGGACTCTGGAGCCGTCTGGATTCGTTAGACACGCTCACGGCTGAAGTGCTGGTTGTCGAGTCCGTCACGGCCGTCTGACTCCGTCTTTCGACCCTGCTTGCGCCGTCTTGACAGGAACGAGGCCGGCTCAAAGACGAACAAGTCAATACAATGGAGGCGCGGATTGGCAACAAGCGGGTATGTTTCTGCTGGGGTCGACGGAGTTGGTAAAGATTGGACGGAATGACCATGTTTCCGGGGAGTCTAAAACATGGGAAATGTGAAGCCATGAGCACTTGGGGGGGGGGGGGGGCACTGAGGCACGCACACTGCAGATAGGCCCAGGTACGTACCGTAGAAAAGGTGAAAGATGGGGCGCGCTAAGGATGGGGTTATGGGCAGAATCCACGGGCCACGGCCACTTCCTGTTAGGTCGAGGGCCAAAGCGGCACTCACCTCATTTTGATTCTTGTTCTATCCCAAGTTCCCAACACCAACTTCACCAAGCACGCGCTGTGCTTTCGGGCCAATCGTTCCGCGTCCACCTGTCGCCCGGCAGCCCCTAGCCGCCCTAGCCGTCGTCGTCAGTCGTGCATCTAACCTGGCGTAGCGACTCCCGAGTCCCCCCCGCGACCTTCGCTCGGTTGGGCTGTCTCTCGAGTCTTTGGTGGCTTGAAGGCGTCTCACTGAAACTCAAAGATAGGAGGCAGGCATGCTCCCGACGATAGGAGGATGATATCCAGTACCCAAGGGACTTACAGTAGTTCATCAAAGGGTCCAGAGTGTCTGAGCGAGACTTTACACTTGACTCTTTTACTGACAAGAAAATAAGCTTGAAACTCGTTCGCCTATGGCCCAAACCCTCGTCTTGTTACTTTGCCCAGACTTGAAGATTGCATCAACAACTACCTAGCCAAAATAAGGTATGGATGCCGATATTTTCAAAGAGGCGACTAATCATACCGTGCCGGAGCCGGGACGGGCCAGCTCCATCAACCCTTATCCACTCCATTGCAGCAACAGTTCGTCCGCAAACGGTTATGACCGAGAAACTTCTCAGGTTTCACCAACTTAGATTCACGTTGAGGATACGCCTGCGTCAGCGGGCACTCGAGTGGCGGCTCGTAGATTCCCTGGTGTCTGCAAGCTTCGAGCTGCTGTTCCTCGGTGAAAGCCGCATGCGGCCCCCGATCGAGGAGCATAGCTGCTAAAAGGATGAACATCGGATCAAACCCTGCATCGGTATCAGACATTCGAGCAGCGCCATTCATTGTCGAAGATGAAGGACACGAATTCCCTAGAAAATATTGAACTGATTGGATGACTACGTTGATACGTGACGTAGTTGGCTCCCATCTCTGCCAATACTACACATCCTAACGCCCGATTACAAGAATGAAGAACTTCCGTTTCCGGCGCCCTCTTTATTCCCTCGACCCAACCTGTGGATACATAGCAGACGACGACCGTTGACCTCCCTCGCGCGAACACCGAGCCGTTCTTCCTAGTGGTGATCACCCTCGACATCGCGGACTGACGAAGGCACTGGGCTGCCAGACTTGCGCTCCTCCAGTACCACTCTGTTGGTCTTGCTGACGTTTCGCTCGAGCATCATCTGATAGCCGCCCATTCCCACGATGATGGCCTCGATCGGGATCAGCAGGATGGACAGGTAGAGGCCCGCCTTACTTTGCTTGCAGAGGGTGCCGAAGTGCGGCCTCGTCATCATCGCAACATTGGACCAGCGGCAGCTCCAGCTCTGCAGTGTGTCGACCGTGATCGACGCGTTGATGCTGTAGAAGAAGGACATGGCAATGATCGATGCCACCAGCCCAACCAATGGGGCGGCCACAGCCAATGAGTTATGGACGAGAGTTCGGTTACGCAGCTGGTTGATGTCAGTCTCGGCTCACTCTCGAGAGGCACGGTGCCGGGGAAGCAGATTTGGACTTACACTTTGGACTCGACTGAAAAGGAGAGAGACAAGATTGACAATTATGAGAATGGAGCTCCCAACGACAAGTGCTACTGTTGGACGCAAGTCGAAGGCGTCCGGCCACAGCGGAAGCATGAAGCCGGCCGGTACATGGGTGGCATCGTAGACGGCCAGGGCATCTGCCGATGTACCAAGGATGGTGATGCCCATAAGGAGGGCCACAACCGTCAAACTGACTCTCGCGGCGTCAACTCCCTTGAGAAGACGTGCGTGAGAAGGGTAGTGAGTGTCATCGGAATCGACCTCAAAGTCTGAGGTTTGTGTGACGTTCTTAAGGTCGGAAGACATGGCGGTAGAGAACGTCGTAGAAAATTGTCGTAAAATGAGATGTAATTACAAGTGTAGAATGACCAGACGTGAGGTAAGAAACGATCTCGAGGAAAGAAAATACGTAGGAAAGGGGAGAAACTGATGGGAGCCAGGCTGTTGTGTGGTTCCCAGCATCACAAACTTACGAAAAGGGCGCTCATGAACGTACAAATACAAAGCTCAAAGATTAGATACGCGCCGTGAGCCGTGTCTAGGCACGGCACGTAATCTTGACCTTGTCTGGGGAACAACGGCAAAGTCCAAAATTATCGTGACGAGCGTTGCGCCGATGCAAGATAGCCGCGCTTGCGACATCTCGGAGCTCTGAGAGAGGAGATCATCGGGCACCCCTGAACAGCCGGCGAGCTTCACATTGGTCAGAAGCCCGCAGATGCCGGTCCCATTGGCGGTCATCCCCAGCGCTTAAAATGGCGGGAAGGCCATGGAGGAGGCCAATGATGAGGTGCAGATAACCTCGTTTTAAATCGAAACGCAAACGCTTATTCGCCGACCGAGATGTGACCACAATCCAAGGTTGCTGCAAGTCAGTGATAATAGAATGAGACTCTGATGATGGAGGTTCTTATTTGCCGCCGTCAGAAGGAATCCGAAGAATAAGCTCACGTCAAGCGGGAAGAGTGGAGATGAAAAGCAATCCCGGCATCCTTGATCCAGGCCAGGCGACTTAGGTAAGCATCTTCTTTTTTCACCCGACAAAACGGAAACTGCCATAGATAAGTGGGGTCGGCACGTGATTCATTCCCACATATCTGACTGACACCTGGTGAATTGCAAGGCCAGCTGGCAGGCCAAGTCTATCTCGTCCTTTTCCACAAGCTGTGTTATTGGCTTCACCAATCCATCCCACACCAGCGCCGACACCCAAAAAGAAACTTGCACCTTCGTATCTGCAAACCAATATACAACTTCGCCAGCTAGATTTTTACGAAAGCTGCCCAAATTGCGCGTCATACTGTCAGGCCTGTCGTGGTCTTTCTCATTTGAGGCCTGACGATACATACGGACACGGAACTTCAAGGTTGCGGACGTACGGGCACGGAGATTGGACGAGACAACTGATGGTCACTGCGACGTTGTCCGATATGCTCGTTCCTGAAGGCTGGATTGCGATGAACTCTCCATGACCACGAGTGTGTCTCATCTCTGAGCTGCGGCATGCAGCACTGCTCAGCCAATGGCGTTTCCACCTTCCCAGAGCGATGGCAATGATTCCACATCGCCAGGGGCGTCTGGACGGCAGGGTATCAGACCCCTCCACGAAAGGGTGAGGTAAGCAAGCAAATGTACAACAATAACAGCATGCTTGCAGATGAGGCTGTCCCAACCTTGCAGCCGTATGCGGCGATCAAACTGATGTCGGGGCTGTCAAAACTCTGCAGCCTTCAAGAAGCCGGCCTGTCGGACCTAGAGATGACAACCGCAACTGCCCCTAGGCTCGGATAGCGGCCATTCTATGATCTTACAAGAGCATTGATCCGAACTCCCTGTCGGTTTGTCGCCGGCACATAAAGCTCTTTGCAGTTCCAGCCTCATCCCAAGGTCTTTCACAGGTGAGTAGGACGACCATATCTTTGGGCCCAGTCCGGCCTAGTTCTTGGCCTCCACTGGAAGAGACATTGGCGTCCGCCGGGTAGGGCCGACTGCTCCGCATGTCAACAGTTGTCTGCACTAGCGGGCGGGCCATTAATGGACAAAGCAGCGGGCCAGCGGCCGAACCTAGCTGATGCCCCAGCTCGCCCAGGGTGCCAGAACAGTTTGGAGAGACTAGCGAACCAGTCTTCAGTTCGCGAACGACGAACTTGGCAGACGTGACTGCACATCGGAGGAAGCGAGAGTTTAGGTGCTTGGCCCTCAACGTCCACCGGGTGTGGACTGTCGATTAAGCCATCGTCAGCATATTAGCGAAAGCCAAAGGTCTCAAGGTTGCCATCAACAGCACTACGGCTACTCAGCTGCCTACCTACTGCAAGTATTGGCCCAGGACTCGGAGTTCGGCAGCCAGAGACTGTGGGGTGACGGTTCGCCCATCAAAAGTCGGCCACGAAGTGACAGGTCGATTCGCCGACTCAAGTCTCACCGTGGCGCCACGGGTATTCACTGCGGCACGGCTCCCAAGTCCATCCCTCCGGGTTGAGTGTCCCAGATGCTCGGGTTGACTCCTGTTGCACCATCAAGATGCATTGCAGCCGGTCAATCAGTCAGTCGTTGATCCATGTCCCGCATGGCAGACACGATATTCTTCTGCCTCTCTGTGCGAATTACAGAGTATCATTGGGAGTTGACAGCCGACCTTGTCCTCCTTGCAGCAGGGTTTCTCTGAATGTCGTCCAATACAGCAACTTAAAAAGTCCGGGCCAGCCAGGACGGAAGACGTAGGTACTCCGCTTCAGCTGAGATTGTTTACAGCCAAGCGAGGGATACGACGCTTGAGAACCACTCAAATTCAATGGTTCATCAGAAAGGCCCTGGTTCAGCACACAGACACACAGACTCCAGCATAAGCAGACTGCAGCGGCCACCGAGACATCCCCTGTCCTGACCCCTGACCACTGGCTCAGCCCAACTGACTGGAACCAACCAGGCGCTCATCACCCGTCATTGCATTCTGATGATCTACAGACCAGCTTACGGCCGGGCCGGTCAAATTCCTTTCTTTCGACTTCCGGGAAACCAGACAGGCACACACAAGACTCAGTAGAGCAAGTAATAGCGGACGGGAATCCTTACAGCCCACACAGGCCCTGGCTAGGCTCAGCAAGCCCTCCATGTCTATCCGCAACATATTCACATGTGCCTGATGGGTCCGGCCCATCACAATTCGCACCGCTTTGGCTTTCCCAGCAGCGCTCCCGCAGATCTGCACCCCTTGGCCTGACTTCGAGACCCCAAAGGCTTCTGCTTTTCACCTGCATTGCAGAGAACATCTCACACTCTTCTCTAACATTGAGATTAACGAATATTCCATCTCCAAGGGTTCATCAAACGTTATTGGCTCGAATACGGCACAGTGCCATTGTAATTACGAGAGTCCTAGGGACGTGGCTCAGTGCCGACACCTCTGCAGTTCTGTCGTGCAGACGGATATTGACCATCCCTTGGATCGGCACCCCGCCCCCCCCCCCCCCCCCCCCCCGAGGCGCTCGACCACCTTGACTACTTAGTACTCTGTCACCGGGTTCACTCTAACTGGAAAGGGAGCCATGACCGTCAGAATCCTACGAGCAGTGTGAACACCCCTGGTCGCCCCGAACCAAAGCCTCGGGTTCTGGGCCGCCACACTTTCTTCCCTGACACACATATGCAGTCTGGGGGGTGTGTTCGTCAAGTGGTCATGAATCACGAAAAAAGTTGGTATGCACACAGCTTTCCCTCCTACCCCAGTGTTCTGGTTGTGAGGAGAACCGGGGCTGGGTATTTGTCAAAGAAGTCTAATGATGTCTCGGGTCGCCTTGGACCTTGCGGGACGCAGCCTGGCAGGCATATCCTTTATCCTTTGTATCGTTTGCCCGGGATAGCGCTGGTAGCCGCGGCGTCGCGGCCGATATAATAACCACTCACGCTTGCCACCCCTCCATCAACCCGTCGTCGTGTCCCACACTGGCCCAACAAACACATCCGTTCGTTTCTGGGCATCCGTTCACACACTGCGGGACTTCAACGTCGCAAAGCCATTCTCGTAGTCTCGCACCAGCCCTCGGTTTATACAGATCATGTCAACCATCACGATAACCTCCGCTCCAAGAACGCGAAGAACCGGCTGCCCCGCGCAGGCGATACCACCTCGGCCTCTAGACCACTTTGTACGTTTAACTCCGTCGATCTCCTGTATAGCCCATAGCCGCGTCCAGCCCCGTTGACCGAAGCCATCACAGCATCTCTTCTCAAGGCTACCCGTAGAACTCCGCCTCAAGATCTGGAACTTCAACCTTCCACCACCGCGGGTCGTGCCCATCCGGTGCGGTGCCAAGTCTCTCTCCTTCGCCTCCCACGCCCAGTTACCAAGGCCCTCGACGAGCGGGTGTACCTCGTACACAGCCGTACCCGTCAACCTCCACGCCTGTCATGAATCCCGCCTCGAGGCCCTCAAGTCGTATTATCTCAGCTTCGGCATGACACGCAACCCGGGCCAGATCTTCTTCGACAAGGACCACGACGTCCTCTACTTTGGCGCCCGCGACGGCTACATGGCCTCCGAGGCGCAGTTCCGCACAGTCATGGCCCTCTGCGACCCCGAAGACATCTCACAAGTGCGCCGCCTCGCCATCAACGATTCCCTCTTCTGGGTCGACACGATGTACCAGTCCATGAGCGCCGCCAACTTGACGGTGGAGGTCCTCAAGCAGATCCGCGTGCGTATGCCGAAACTGGAACAGCTCGTCTTCGTGCCGCGGGACGAAAACCCAGTCTACGACGACGAGGTTGAGCTGGTGCCCGCGAACCCGCACGGCGTGCTGGAGCAGCAGATGGCGAGGCAAATGGAGGCGGCGATGAAGACCGTTTGCGACCTGTTTCCGGATTGGACGCCGCCGCAGTGGTGTATCATGGCTCTCGGGTCGGCATAAGCCCCGGGACCACTTCAAAGGATGGGCATTCATGGTTCCCGAGGGGAACAGATTTCTACCAGCGTGTTAAGCAACGTACCCCGTTCTCTTCTGCAAGGCAAGGCGGTAACGGCACACTCGCCTTCTTATGAGCAGGAAGGAGATGGACCTGCCGCGAGCATGAACTTCAAGACCATGTATTGGGCTGGTCAGACTGCATTTTCAAGATACCCTTTTGTCTTTTCTGTTCTTTTTGAGCGTCATGGAACACTTGCAATGTATTGCGAAGAAAATGTATCAGTTTATGTATTGATAGGGAGCATGTACGAGCCATGTGGATGATGTTAGCCAACAGAATTAGCGATTTCTGGTTCTCTCAACAGATTTTATTATGATCGGTTCTTCACTCACGTCTTAGTCTTGAAGTAAACAGTGATTGGATCAATGTTTGTGGCCTCGCCGATGGTGTTTTCTCGATAGGATTCACTGCTGAATAACTACACGGTCGAGAAAGTAGAAACAAAAGAAACACTCGTAATCGCCGGAGCACATCATCTCTATCGAAACTAGTTCCATCCCATAACCCCTCTCGACTATTAACCACCCCATCATCGTAGCTCCTGCGATGAAGGACAGAAACCCGGACATTTAGATACCACCATATTCAAATGTGCGTGGTGCGAGGGCCGACATCAATCTGTCCCATCCGCGTAGATTGCTGAGACAAAGACGGAGTGGCGTGATATTTGAATCTCTTCGAAAGTTGAGCCCGGATTCGGAAAATGCTCGCCACCGGCTTATCTGGTCCCTTGATGGCCTGGTAGGGCGTAGTAGTGAAAATTCCGGAAATGCGGAATTAGTACTACGGGTATTAAACACCGAATTTTGCAAAGTGTTGTGTGGACAGCGAAAACCCCTGAAGCTTGCGTCTTCATTTGCCAGTGGAATTGATAATGTTCATTACACGGGCTCTGTTAGAATCAAACGGGTTATGAGTAGATTAAGCAGACGAGGAAGCTTCCTCGATAAAAATCAATCCGACTAGACACAATGACCGCAGCATACTTATAAGATGAATCAAATCAGATTCCGAGACTGAGATTCCAGTTGCATCTGTTTACGCCGTCGGTAAGTGAGGCATCGAGTGAAGGACCCCATTATGTATTCGGATCATGCGTCTTGGTTGAATGCATGGATTCGGATCAGAAGGACTACTGTTAGAAACTTCGGGTGAATTAAGGGAATGTTGTAGGATCCTGGGAATGATGTCAAGCATCAAATTGAACCTGCTAGATAGAAGGGGATTCTAAACTCAGATTTGGAATTCGCGGTGTTGTTTCCCATAAAAAAGTGCAGGGAAACTCACACCGCACCACGGGAATCCTCTCGTGAATCCCCTTGAACTCGGGCACGAGACTCGGTCCGTTTGTCGATTGCAGTGAACCACGGCGGCCTTCCTGCCAGAAGCAGTACTTAAGCAGGTTGCTCTCCATACCTTTCAGTTTGCCGGCAATGACCAGGACACCGGGAAGACGAATTCAGGTCTCCAAGCTTAAGGCCGTTGCCTGCTTGCTTGGTAATCTATTGGGTTCTAGCGGTCTCTCAAAACACTACAGATAGTACATAGGCAGCACCTTGATACCTCGATTCCTCCGTCCCTAGTCATCTTGGTAGTGTTTGGGCAGAATAAACGGTAACAGAGGGGGGCGGGAGAGAGATAGTGATTGGCAAAAGCTTGTTCAGCTTATCAACCCAGCAAATAGAAAAGGTTCATGTTTACATGGAGCATCAGTCCTTGGAAGTCCTCGCCATCGGCGACCCTCCAGCTGGGCCTCCGTTGGTACATCTGTCCCGCCGCTGTACCCTTCGGCACCACGCCAACCGGAGAGCCTCCTGAGATCATGAAGAGATTTATAGGCACGTTCACGATGTGAGCCTCTGGTGAGTAAGCACCAGAATGGGAAGAGAAGCAGATATGCTTCTATACACAAGTGCAGTTGTTACTGGGAGAATGACAACCCAACACTTCTGCATACGTGTAGTGAGACCTCAACTGCACGGCAGTTACTTGGGCTCCCACGACGAGTTGCAAAATTCGACGCAAATTCCATTAATCCGTCATAGGCTGGCAATCGATTAAAGACCTGATGATCGAAGAGAAGATGAACTCCTAATTAAAGTGAGTATACGATTTTCACAGGTACTGCGTTACGTCATGTAAATTACCAAGCTACCAAGCTACCGAGTTTCAAAGTTCCCTTCTATGCATGCATGTGTCTAAAGTATCCGTACAATCATTTGCTATCACGACAAAACGCTCTGTCTTATAAAATCGGTCCCCGATCTTCTGCCGGGCTAATTCCCTCTTCATGCCCGTCATCCCTTAAAAGACCCTGATGCTCGCCACCACCGTCCTCTCTCATAAGACCAGTTTCGACACCCATACCTCTCGACAACCCGCTCGTCCGACGCGTCTCCTCAGCGCCGTTGAGGACGTACCAAACGTCCTTCTTGGTCAAGAGACCCTGTAAAGCACCGCGGTCACTGAATAGGACGTACCGCAGGCCGAGCTTCTGGAAGTAGCTGACGGCAAGATGTAGGTTAGACCTTGACGCCATGGTGATGGGCGTCTGATCCATCCACGGCCGGAGATCAAGAGTCGTACGCGGGTCCGCGAGGGGCTGGTGAGAGAAGAAAGCCTCCGTCTCTAGCGGAAGCGATCGCGGTGGCTGCGAACACACTTGTAAGTTGTAGGTGAGTTCCGCACGCGAGATATATCCCAGCAAAATGGCTTCGCGGGGATCTGAAATAACAGGGAACCCTCGGTAGGTGTGCGTGTCGAGGATGTTCTTTAAGCTGCCAATAGTGTGGCCCGTCGCCGTGAGCACAACCAAGTCCTCGATGCGAGTCATAATCTGCGAGGCAGGAATATCGGGGATGACCATCTCCTCGCTGTTGTCCAGGAAGGGATACTCATTGAAGTGGATCCATGCTTCGTAGATACCCTTCCGGGAGAACGCATCTCCCACCCATTTAGACAGCATGACAGCGATCATGATGGGGAGAACATAGGTCAGAGCTCCTGTCAGCTCGAACATGATGACGACAATTGAGACCGTCATTCGAGTGACGCCGGCAAGTGTAGCTGCCGCGCCGATGATGGCGTATGTTCCCGGTGTTACGCAAGGAACATCTGGTTCGCAAGAGGCAAATGCAAAGAACGTAGGGTGGTTCGTGACCCAGATCTCCATGATAATTCCCACTGCTCTGCCAGTCAAGGCTCCAATAGCCATTGAAGGCAAGATAATTCCGGCAGGCAGCTGGAGGCCGAATGTGATGGTGGCAAGGAAGAAACCAAGGATAGCCCCAAATATCAACAGAACAATAGTCGGTGCCGACGCAGCCCCAGTCTTACAGAGACCGATTTGGTCGTCGACGTACTTGGAGCACTCGACAAATAAGTTGGAGACAAGCTCCGATGTCTGAAACTTCATGTAATGGTTGGGGTAGTTGATGAGGGCCGTCAGAAGGGCAATCGCAGCGACTTGGGTAATGGGCCCAGGTAGCCATGGTGTGTTCTTCTTCCATCGTGCCACGGCCATATTGGCTTTGATAAAGAGGCCACCGTAGATTCCCTGTCAGACTGTCAGTAAATTTCATGGTATAGTGACGGCCTGTACTTACACCAAGGATGCCAAGGAAGACAAATGGGATCAGCTCAAAGCCATGCCATCCCGTGCTGAATTTGACCTGGTACATGACAAGCTGCCCCGTGCGAAACGGATCGAATGCTTGAAGAACGACGGCAGCAGTCATGGCACAGACAAAACTCTGCCACATGGTTTTGTCGGGAAAGTAGTATGAGAGTTGCTGGTATATGATTAGCCTTGAACAAGGGGCATGTCCGGTCGTTACCAACCTCTAGACTGAACAATACTCCTCCGATCGGCGAGCCAAAAGCCACCGAGATTCCAGAAGCAGCAGCAGCAGATAGAACCTCTCTCTTTCGGGCTGTCATAGCATTAGTAACACTCAGAATTTGCGTTACAGACTTGGCTCACCCTCGTTGTCGTTGATGTTCTTGAAAAGCTTGATAAAGAGATTGGCGCAGCAACAGGCAACGTGAACCAGGGGTCCCTCTTTGCCTAGCCACATGCCTGAACCAACTGCAAGACACTGCAGAAGTTAGTAAACATGGCAAAAATGAGAATAACGGACATATAACGTACCAAACCCAGTGACTTGGTGATCAAGGTCCAGCTGCCAAGAAACCTCCGAATAATGAAACCACCCAATACCGTCTTGATCTCGGGTATACCGCTGTGTTTGGCATACATTCCGTACTCCTGGACCAGCATAGCCGCCGCCGATGCCAAAATAACCTCAAACCTGTCAGAACATAGTCGCGAGGCTGTGGGACTGCGAGACTTACAGAAAGGATAAGAAAGAAGAAGTACTCTATGAACCATTTTCCACCGCCGGAAGTGACCCCCAACGCCTTCGCCCAGGGCGTCCACCCGCCGCACTTTGACATCTCATTGTAGCCCCAGCAGCAAAAGTTCTTATTCAAATAGAACGCGCCTCCTTCCGGGCCGCTAGAGCAGTATCCTGTTTTCAGGTCGCCAAGCCAGTCGGTCGTTATGTCAATGCCAGCAGCTACAGCGCCAACAGCCATACCAGTCAAGATCAGAATGATCCAGACCTCACTGGCATCCACGAGCTGCTTGAACAGTCCAAGCAACCCTTGCGCCCCCGAGTGCAGGACGCGCAGACGCTGGCGCTCTTTTGTGTATTCGAAAATCCAATCGATGGCCGTCAGATCCTCGTATCCCACTCTTCTGCCTGGTCCCTCCACGTACCAATCTAGCGGCGCGCCATCTTTGGTACACTGGCTCGCAGCACCATGTACACCTGCCCTCCGAGGTGATCGATTTGAATCGTGGGTCGGCGTTCGCGCTCGCGGCGAGGAGTGAGGAGAGGCAGTGCCTGATCGCGAACCGGTAAAGGCGGACAGAAGCCGGCTCGGAGCTGAGAGAGCGTTCTGCTTCTGTTTTCGCTTGAAGGAAAGGGGCTCTTCGAGTTCCTCGTGGATTGGGTCTTCGATCAGGACATCAGCGACGTCTTCGTCTTCGCTCCAGAAGTCCAATTCGTCTCGATCGGCGGGGTCGTTGTTGCTGTTGCTGTTGCTGTTGCTGGCGCCAGTGTTCAGCGGGCGCGATGAGGACGAGGCGGACGAATCATATTGTACAGGA